CATCTGTCACTGGTCAGTGCTAATGTGTGTGCAAGATCTGATGCAGAAGGACGCACTGTACGATATTTGGACAATGGTGAGGCAACGAGGCATTCATATCATTTCAGGGTCTAGACCAAAGGTAGCACTATGGATCTGATCACGTTGCCTACGATGCTGCGCGAACTTGAAGTTGTGCGGGGCGCAGCGAAGAGGTTTGGCGGAAGTTTCGAGGCCGAGGTTGTGAGTATGTTGCTAGGATGAATGTTTGATTGAGGAATATTGAAGCTAGAGACAATTCAAAACCAGTGAGCGCCAAATCGTAAAGAAGTTGACGCACTTTTTTTTTTTTTTTTTTGGGTCAGTGTTTATTGTCCGTTGGGGCATAGCCCTATGGTAGACAAAACATGCGAGTATTTACTGTAGCGTACTATTTGTTTATGTGTGTCCGGTGGTGTACAATCATTGGTCCAGGTGGAATACGAGGACAGTTAAGGCCAGCTAAAGGCGATAGTGGGAGTGCAAGCTCGTTCATTCTTCTTTGTCATCTTCGTCTGCGGGTGGTGTGACGTCACCAAAGGTCTGTTCCATTCTGTGCGTACTTGCTATGAAGCGCAGTAGAGGTTTGATACACTTTGAATTGTTCAGCAGGTTCTTGAGGTGATTGGTCTGCGGGCCGAGTTCGAATTGGAGTGCAAGGCGTTGTGTTATGTACTTTGGGCAGGTGATTATAAAATGGTGGACCGTTTCCTCACGTTCGCCGCATTGCTGACATTTGGGGCTGGGTACTTTTGCGATACGATGTAGGTGCTTGTTTAGCGGGGCGTGTCCTGAACGAAGTTGGAAAAGGAGTGAAGAGTGTCGGCGCGGGAGTTTTTCTATCAGCTTTGAGAAGTGTTTCGAGGGAGCCGTTGCGTCGATTTCATGAAGGCGTTTGTATCGCGGTGAGTTTTTCATGATGTTTGATGATTCTTCTTTGATTATTCGTCCGAACTGCTGCTTTAGCGCCGACTTGCTGATGGGGAGGATGATTGCCGCATTTGTTCTTGCGGTGAGGAGGGATTTGGGGAGTTCGTTAGGTGCGCTACTGTTTCCTCTGGCTGCCATCTTCGCTTGCTCATCGGCTGCTTCATTGCCTGGAATTCCGTGGTGGCCTGGGGTCCATCGTACGGTCAACTTGCGTTCGTCGTGCGCGGGTATGAGCTTGCGCAGGTCATCATGGAATTTATCCATAAGGTAGTGACCGGGTTTGGAGACGAAGGCCTTGGTTGCCCAGATGGCGGCTTGGTTGTCAACGCCAAGGGCCATTGATCCTTCTCCTCCTTCCTCTTTCAACAGCTCTATTGCCAAGATCATTCCTACTAACTCTCCCTCGTAGACCGTGTGCTCCTGGTCTCCTCCTAAGTAGAACCTCTTTGTTCCTACTACTTCGCCATTCCTTATCAATACTGCCGCTCCTCCTACTCCTCCGTCTATTGCCGAGCCGTCAGAATATGCTTGAAGGTCTTCGTCTGCACCTTCATCGTCGTTGACGGCTGTGGCTGCGTCTGCCGCCATCTCTGTTGCGACGTCCGGGGCCCATTTGGGGTAGTGTCGTATTGGCTCGATTGTTTCTACTGTGTGCGGGTTGAGTCGAAATTCGTTGAGTAGGCGGTGTATGGGTGATGGGTGTCTCTTGCAGCTTCCGAAGTCTCTTCTGGTACAGGCATTGTACGCTGCGCGGATGCCCTTGTAAAGGGGGTGCGACTTATGCATCGTGATCATGCGTAAAGTGGCTCTGTGGCACACTTTGCGTAATAGCTGTTGAAAAGGGAGTATGTCAGCATGTGCGTCTAAGAGATCAGTAGCAGAGGTTCTCATTCCCCCCGTTATCATAGTGGTTGCCATCCGCTGAACTCTGGCCATCTTCGATGCGAAGCCTCTTGCTCCGCGGCCAGCATTCTTCTTTCCCCTTCCTTTTGCGACAAGTCCGGAGCACCAGATGTCTGCCGCGTAGAGCATCTTGGGGATGACTACTCCTTCGTACAGTTTCTTGAGTAGTCGGCCGTGGACACCTTTCGTAGCTCGAGTCATGCGTTGGCATGCCATTGTGTACCGAGTTCCTTTTGCTAAGGCGTAGGTTGCATGTTCTTTAAAGGTCAGTTCGTCATCGACTATGACTCCAAGAAATTTGTGCGATCTTGATGGTTGAATGATGTGGTTGCGGATGGAGATAGGTGGGCGGGGAACTGGGATGGTCTTTCCGCGGCGATTGGGGTCTGCTATTCGACGTCTTGATAGACATAGTAGGGCCGTTTTATCTAGTTCAAAGTCAGCATTGTGTTCTCTACTCCAATCTAAAGCGCCTCCTGGTTTTTCCATCATTCTCTTGAGTTTGTGGTTTGCATCTTCATAGGTTTTTCCTCGTGCTGCTATGGCGATGTCATCTATGAATCCTAAACTAAGTTCTCCCTGGCGAGGGTTGGGGTCAGCTATTCGGAGGACGGGTGAGTTATAAAATAAGAATCCTATTACTGATAGAGGGCATCCTTGGTCAACTCCATTTGAGACGTTGAATGGGTCGGAGCGGTGGTCGTCGAAGTGTAAAGTAGTTGATCTGTTACTTAGTCGTTTTCGGTACCAGTCGATGTACTCCAGTGGGATGCCAGCGTGTCGCATGTTGTGAAGCATGCGGTTGACTACCACACTTGGGAACGCTGCCTTGACGTCAAGGAATAATATTGATACGAAAGGTTCTGCTGAGGCCCAGGCGTCCGTTGTGAATTTCGTGAGAAGATGCAGTGAGTCGGTTGTTGATTTTCCTGGTCGTCCTCCGAAATGGGTTGGGGGGAGAAGGTTATGATGCTCTGCAATATAGACCAAGTCGTCAGCGACGCAAGATGAAAGTATCTTACCCATGGTGTCGAGTAGCGTGATGGGGCGGTATGCTTTCGGCAGACTGTAGTCTGGTCTGCCGGGTTTTCGGAGTACCACTGTCGAGGAGAGTTTCCAGTCTTCCGGATAGTGTCCGAGTTCGAATGTCGCACGGAATATGGGGCCCATGTAGGGTACAAGTAGGTCAGCACAGTTCTTATAGACACAGTTACATACGCCGTTTGGGCCTGGAGCTTTATAAGGGGAGAGTTTAGCTACAGTGCGAAAGATTTGTTCGTTAGTAATGGGTGCGAACTCGCAGATGGGTGGATTATAAACAAAGTCGGGCTCAACGTGCTCATCGTCTGGGGGTTGTCTGAAAAAGACTTCATATAGGAGTTCGCTCTTCCTGGCGTTGTCTTGCGTGGCGCTGATTCCTCCTGGGTCATTTGGATCTTTCAGAGTCTTGATCCGCGTGTGAATTTGGTCCAATGGGCTGCTGGCTGCATATCGGTGAAGGTCCCAGATGTTCGTTGGTGTGATGGCTTCGAGCCACTCTTCCCAATGATCCTTCTTCGCTTTCTTGATGTTTTCGGAGAAGCGGTTGCGAGCTAGGCGGAACTCTTCGTGGATGGGGTCTTGACGTTGGGCTAGACGGTTTCTGGCCTTCTTGCCGAGCTTATGTACTTGCTTTCGTTCAGTGCTTAGGTCGTTCGACCACCACCTTTTCGCGTAAGGTGACGGTTTGGTCTTGGGGACATGCTCTTCTACAGATCTAGCTATTGATTGGGTTAGGTGTTCAAAGAGGGCTTGGAATTCATCTAAAGATTGGATGTTAGCAGGTGGGGGTCGCGTTTCGAGTTCAGACGAAAGGGCTTCTCTGAATGTGTCCCATTCTACAGTTCTATAGTTTGGGCGTTGTTCGAGGTTGATGCGTTCTGGTTGGAGGTCTAGGGTGCTAATTATTGGAAAGTGGTCAGTTTTTACAGGGCGTAGTTGGTATTCCACGGCGCATTTAGTAAACATATGTTCAATTTCAACGGAGCAAAATACATTATCTGGGCGTGTGTGGTTTTTCGTGTTTGAGGCTTCGAGGGTGGCGATGCCATGGGGTAGTGCTTGAGTGAGTGAATATGCAGCTAAGAGATTAATTAGTATGTCCGCAGCGTCTAAGTTCGCTGCGGTGAATAAATGAGAGTTGCTTGTCAGGTCCCACATGGGGTGGTGACGGTTGAAGTCCCCCATCCAGATCATGTGGGCGTGGTCCACTCTGTTATCGCCTTGAGCGTTAAGTCGAGGGAGGTGACGGTGAGTAAGATTTTCGGCTATCAAGTGTCGTTCAAGGAATTGCAGCGTTCGCGAATGGTCGCAGGCATTGTAGATATTGTATATACGCACCTTTCCGAAGTTTCCGTTTAGTTCAATTGCGGTGATGTTGGGAGAGTCGAGTGGTACAATATGCCAGTTGTTTTTGGATAGTTTTTTGTTGACGAGTAGGATGGATTGCGATCGTTCTGGGTTCGAGTGGTGATTGGTGGGGTATATGACGTCCCAGTATTGTCTAAGATTGGAAGCGTTAGCGAGACCTACTGGGTTGAGGAATGGCTCCTGGATGCATGCGAGATCGTAGGTATTGGGGTTGAGGTTTTGGAGCATGTGCTCCCAGGCGGTAGAGGATTTGCGTAGATTTTGTTGCCAGATTTTGAAGTTGGTGTTGGGATGTTGTTCGTTACGGATGTTCTGCATTAGTCAAAGTTGGAGGGAGAGGGACTTTCAGTGTAGATATCTGGGGTTGATGGCGGGTACCAGAGAGGTGTGGTGGTGGTGGATCCGGGAGACGAGTGATTTGAGGGAGGGAAGTGTTCGTTCAGTTTGTTCTGGCCTTGCGGTTGGGAGGTTAACCAATTGTTCATTAGGCGCGCCTGGGATCCCATTCCAACTGGGATTTGATTAGGGTTTTCACGAGGTTGGCGGCGTTGGGCTTGTTTTCCCCGTTGTTGGGCTGGTTGTTGCGGTTGTTGCTGTTGCTGGGGTTGTGGGTGTGGTATCTTGGTCAGTAGTCGGCCATAGTTACCATGGGTGTTGAGGTCTGTGACTGGTTGAGTCCACATCGGCTGTCTTGGTGGTTCGTTTTGTTGTTCGTGGTTGTCGCTGCTGTTTAGGCTTTCCCAGGTGAGTGGGTCATCAGTTGGGAAGTATCGGTATTTGGCGTCTTCGGAGCGGCTCTTGAAGTTTTCCCATTTGTTGACGAAGGTGGGACATTCTCGACTCCATGAGGCATGGCCCTGACAATCACAGTTAGCGCATTGATAGTAGTTAGGATCATCTACTTTGCATGTTGCCGTGCGATGTTTTGCCCCACATGTTCCACATGTGTCGTGTTCCTGGGTGCATTCTGCTGCAACGTGGGATACGTCGTAAGATTGGCATTTGAGGCAGCGCATTGGCTCCGGGAGGAGTTTTCGGCCATAGACCTTCTTGCCTTCAATTGAGATACCGAAACGGAGGATTTGGTTGGCGCTTTCTTTGGTTCTGAGGGTGATGATGACGTGTGCTGTTCGTTGATCTGCTTTGCGGCGATTGATTGGTTTAATCCATCTTGCTTTGGTGATTGATCCCTGTTTGAGTCCTCCTTTTGCTTCGACTTCTGTGTTGGAGTGTATCGAGCTGGGGTTGTAGGAGAGGGGTACGTTTTCAACCAATATGTTGAAGGATCGGTCTTTGACGGTAGCGTTGGGGCCGAAGTTGACCGCAAATTTTCCTCTGTGGGCGGGGGTGTTGAGCCATTGGGCGGATTCTGCCGAGTCGAGTTCATATAGGATCCCTCCATGTGGGAGTCGTCGTGCTGATTGGAAGGTTAGTTCTTGGGGGATGGGGACTCCGTCTTTCTCTACTAGTTCTAGTGTTAGTTTGGCTTTTGCGACGAGCTCAGCTTCAGTTAGTCCTCTTAGCGTGTCTATCTCGCCGAATGAACGTCTGTCGATAAGGATTTGCCTTGCTTGCGCTTCACTGCGGGCTAAGATTTTGGTTAGTGGGGGTGGGGCATTAGTTCTGGCTGCGTGCGCGTAAGTTCGTGTCCCTTCAGGACTTTTAACTTTCGGGTGGTCTAATGACGCAGTAGTAGCATTCATCACTGCTTTTTCAATGCTTTCAGTTGAGTTGGAAATGTTGCCACGTAGCTCTATTGCTGCGTTTTCCAGTGCTGCTTTGTGGGCATCAGTGATTTCTGCTATTCTCGCGGCTTTTTCTTCTAGTTACGCTATGGGACCTTGTATGAGGGATGTGACTTTTTCAATGAGGTTTGCTGCATCCAGGTTTTGTTCAGCTTCGATAAGCAGGATTGCGATGGCTCGAAGAATGTCGACATGTGTTGCACCTAAGGCCGCTGTGACACTGAATTCTAGCAGGGCATGGGCCATTTGTTTAATGACGTTGCAGGCAACAGGTAGATTGAGGCCGTGCGTCAAGAGTAGTTTTCTGGCTGCCGTTTGGTCTTTGATTTCGGATCTGATATCTGAACCAGCAAGGTGGTCTTCTATTTCTCTGCTTATTGATAAAAGAGGTTTGTTGGCGGTAGTTTTTCGGCCTCTAGTGGTCGCTGTCACTGATGCAGTCTGGTTAGTATGGATGATTGGCGTTAGCGTCATGTTTTTGTGTTTTTATCGTTTTGTTGGTTTTGTTGTTGGTTTTCTTTTTATGTATTTTAGAAGCTAGTGATTAAAAGAGATAAAAGAGAAAGGAAATGAGGCGAGGAGGACGTCAAAGACGTCTTTGTCGCCGTCTGGCGCAAAAGCTCGGTTGAGTTTTTCCGGGGTCCTTGAGGGGTGCCACTTGGTACGGGTCCAAGAAGCGTTCTTGACGCACTTTGATAAGCAGACTCCACAGATTGCTTGCCCGCTCACAGTGCATCAAACTTCGACCCTGCAGGCATGATCTTGTTTGGGATCTAAATTACTCTTCAAGCAAATGTCCGTGTATAGCCTCAATCATTATACCGATGGGCACGCGTGCGATAGCATGCTGATGCTTCTGCGAGTTTGCAGGACGAGCGCTTAGGAAAGCCTTATTAACATGGCTGGATTCCCCAGTCACCCTCACTACACTCTTCTTTCATCCTAGCAACATGCCTCAACATTCGACGGAATATATCATCAATCATGTTTTTTGCCCCCTCAAATTACCACAAGCAAGCGACCATACCCTTGAGAACGAGTTGGCCTTATCTCAGGCGGTATTGGATGCTGCTCAAGCTTTCAACAAACAGTTACCGTCCGATAAGCAACAGCTTTGGGCGAGCAGCTTTAAAATGCTTCAGAACCTTCAACATTCAATCAGATTCAGCGTCTTGTCCCTAAAGGAAGTTCAAACTAAGATCAATGCCATGAACAACAAAGGTCTGTCATTTTCACCTCATTTGCATTTACCCCCGTGCTGAAACTATTATTGTTAAAGATGTTTTGGTATTTATGATTCGCGCACAAAATGCTGCGGTGATCATGAGAAAACTTGAATATGAAACCATATTCGAATCATTCGAGATCTCTCCTGAATCCACCGCAGTGATGGGTGCAAAGGGAAAGCTAATCTGTTCATATCCTGGGCCTGCTATCACGGTTCCAGACACAATTGTCAATGACGCTACCTTTCCTGCCGCGCTGGCGAATTTTCTCTTTCGCATGGATAATGATGTCCTTGATGCGGCAGCGACGAGGAAAAAAGCTGATTCCACTGTTCCCGAAGAGAGGGATACAACTCATCCCCGGTATATCACCGAACTCCTGACTGGTATACTGCGTAGCCTTGGGAGCATTGCTGATGTTCCTCGCATCCGCAAGCGCATCGGAGATGACGTGCTGTGGAACAGCGCGAAATTGCCATGGAGGCGGTCTCCACTTTGGCTTGTCATTCGCGTTGCTTTACAGACCACTCTGGAGCGCAACGCTCTCGGACGAACGACATATAAATCATTCTTATTGTTCTTGATGGCTAGGGTTACAACCCTCGCTATCGATAATAACTTGTCGAATGACGTCCTACACTTTATGTCGGCAAAGATTGCACGCCGTCTTTTCAAGCTTGGAACTTCTGCTTCTCCAGAGTTATCATTCATGGTCGTTACGGTCACGAGTGAAGTCAAGAGTATTCTAGAAGGAAGATGGAAATCTGTTCAAGACGTGCAACAGACCTCACCTCCTTGGGCTCCCGAGACCCTCTCGGTCTTGCAGGATACTCACCTCTCCTTGAACACGAGTCGAAGATACATATGCCAAGCTTTGCTGAACCAGCATTCGTCTTCCAAATCAACCTCTTTCGAACCAAGCCACCGTGCACGCGGCACAATTGATGATTTCCTTGACGCTGATGCTAGCTTCCTGATAGCTGCTCATGACGCAGAACCATCCCTTTCCTTAATCGACTTCGAGACGGTTGTCAGATCAGGCATTGATGACTGGGTAGCGTGTATCTCATTTCAGAGCATCGATTCCGCATGTATCTCGATTGAGGCATGTGCCTCCGCATACTCCTCGCGAGCACTGGAAACTTACGAAGGAAACCCGGAGAATACGTCAATCATGCTTCTTACTCTTTTCGAACTCTGGGTAGCGATGGATAAGATTGTTGTTAAACAAATTCCCCTCCTGGCAAACTATCCCCCCGAAGTCCCATCGACCCTTTGGATGAATCTCCTGATCCGACAATCCTCAGCCCTTGATCGTTTAAAGAAGTTGTGCGCCTATTTGGAAGAACGTGATTTCCGGGCTTCCAACCGTCTGTCGGTATTCTCGTCCATCGACAATGACAGATCGTTCGCAGTGCAGTATTTTTACCAGACACCCATGTTGCAAGATTTAAAGCGGGAAATCGAGGAAGATGCTCGGGAGGAGCGGGACGAGAAGTTGGCTCAGCTTCGGACCCTCAACGAGAAGTACGCTGAGCTCCAGAAGAGTGCAGCGAGCCTATCACATGAATACCGTGTCAGCTCCTGGGGTCATGAGTTCCACTCTGGGTTGTGTGCCAAATGTAACCTGGAGAAGCGGATGCGATCCATGACCATTGCAGTTCACGAGTGGCCACTACCGCGGCATGAACATCAAGCGATCACGGTTGTGTTCGAGCTAGCATGCCCCATCGCGTTTGACTTGTGGAGATCTTTGACATTCCATGTTCTCGTTGACATCTGCACTCCAACGCAGATTTTGTCCACTCCCCCCTTCATCACGCTGCCTAATTATGGCGCCTTACAGCAATACCGCGAATGTCATCCAAGACAAAGGGTGACTTTGGCGTCAGAAGCTAAACCCTTCGCTACGTGTCATTACCATTACCAAAATATTCCTACGCAAGCAAACCTCATCTGTGTGAACAACGGCCTCGTATATCAACCTTTTGATATAATCACAAATGCATGGATATCCGACGCACTGCTGCACTGGAATTCTAGTAAACTGTGCACTTTCATTCTTCCCAGGGGGCCATACTATGATCTGCAGCATTACCTCGCAGGAACGTCGCACACCTCAAATGAGGTCATCGCCAATCAGGCAGATTGTCACAAGGACATGACCATTCACGAATTCATCGCTTTCGGAGTCTTACGGTGTGGGCCGCTACTGCAATGGATGAATGTGCTACGTGAACTCCGTGCGAGGATACTCAATTTTCGATGTGAAGAAGTCCATCTATTATTCGCGCAAGCCGTCTCACAAGTTGGCCCACTTTCCAAGTCATCTGATGAGAGCCTTCCGTGGCACGAGGAGCTGGAAAGCATACCATTCCTTAGCACACTGCTAGGAGAGCTTGAGTCCTTGCTTGCGAACGTCGAAGAAAATTGGCTGGAAGGCGTCACGATAAGCACTATCATCATGATTGTGTGCCGTGTCTTGTCCTCGACACAGGAAGAGAGTATCAAAAGTCGGGGATATTTCTTGCTTCGCAGGATACGAACAGCGACCTTTACATTTCTGGGACAGCTTTCACCGAAAATGCAAGCCAGTGACGACGAGAAGGCCAGTCGGGATTTGCAAGGACGACTTCGTGATATGGCCGCTACCTGTCGGAGCACCTTTGATGTTGACGGAGATCCTTCGCTGCTCTTGACGTCAAATGATGACATCGAGGTATTTGTGTACTGTGGGGTCATGATTTACGACAATACTCCAAGCCACCTGGACAATCTATCACGATATTCCAAGCTACTGCTAGAACGAGACAAGAGATGCTGCCACACATTAGAAGCTGCTGTTCGTCGATATGTAGAGAATCACAGGGAGGGTCTCGATTCTGCGGTGAAAGCAATATGGGGCAGCTACAGACGAGGAACTTCTTGGAAGGCCCTGCCAGCTCCGTGCTCTCGTTGGCTTGCAACGAAGACGGCACCTTCTGGTTCTCAGTCACCGCAAACTGTGCATTATAACTTAATTGATGGGCGTTTGCTTGTTGATGGGAAGCCGCTGGGTAGGCTTCCATTGACTATAGTGCGGCATCCCACATATCAGGCAATTTTCGGTGATGTTAGCTTTTGCAAGTTACGACTCTGCTGGTGCATGCTCACTCATTAATTACAGCAAGTTCTGGACATTGTTCCAGCTGATATATCTGGAATGGAGTATGCGACACGCGGGAACCCTTATGGCCATCAGGTTAGTCACCCTCATTGTCGTCACTCAGCAGCTAAAATAATACATTTGCCTGTCAATAAAGGTGTCTTTTGCTCTCCGCGACTCAAATGACCTCATTATCCGTGCGAAGCATATCGAACAAGACTCGCCTATCGCACAAGACCCGCCTATCGAACAAGACCCAACTATCGAACAAGACATCCTTCAACTCATTCCAAGCCAAAAATTTGTGGGGGACCTACCGACGACCTTGATAGTAGGCCATACTCACTGGCTTAACCTGGGCACAAAAAAAATAGAGATTCGGCCAGCAGAACGTGCGTGGCAGTCTTCACTTGACAATTGGTTCCTGCAATTTGCTATTTCGGGCCCCTCGACGCTGCAGAATGCCAGCGGTGCCACTCTTCTCGATATACGTAGCCCTACATGGGACATGATCTCCAAGAGAATGCGTCCTCTGGAGGATGCCTGCCACATGATGGTCACATACAACAAGGGTTCTAGTGACACTCACTTGTTGAAGGTTGATTTACCCCGATATGGTCTAGAATTCTTCGTCGACGAGAGTGGGGAACTACAGTCCCGTAACATGCGCAACATGGTCGTTGACGACGATCAGTCTACTGGCACAATGTTGGGATTGGTCAATCAACTCATTATGCGTCCGAAGTCGCAAATCATGGATGAGCATCCCCGTACCGTCATCATCCCAGATGGTCATATCTCATACGCTGTTAATGAGCATCACGTCCAGGTTACCATTACGAATAAAGGCCCACGAGTGGCGTACCACTTGTACAGGGTTGATACAGATCTATGCTCTCTTACTGGGCGTGTAGGTCTGACGAACAAGCTCTATCAGGCGCTTCTCCACGCTGTTACTAGCGGCTGTCTTCCGGATCCTCTGACGGGTCGAACAGGAACAGAGGAAGCGTTACATCTCATGCATTCTGCGGCTTGCCAGTCTTTTATGAAGCTTCTCCCTCGTGATATATATCTTTTGCGCGAGATCAGTTCGTTGTCAACCATGCGCATATGGTATCCCACACATCTTCAGAAGATGCAGACAGTCTCATGGTCATGTCTTTCATCCCTCGCACAACACCACGGTTTCCATCCAGCTGCAAAATCTATTATGGACTACGGCAAGCGACTTGCAGCTTTCTCCGAAGAATCTTCAGACCTTGATCTTACATTTCATCTTCCGAACTACCTTCTCGAGCGTGCATCCATCCGTGCCTCTGCGGTCTACCCTGACCAGTTTTCTCTTCCAATTCTGCTCAGGGACACAGATGTCATCTATGCTTCACGCGATGTACCCGATAAAAATGCAGAAGAGAGGGCATTTAATACCGCCTTCATGACACTCCAGTGGCCACACGAGCTTCCGGTGCAGCAGGATATCCTCAGTTTGTTGACTCGGTGGAAGAACGTCCGGGGCATTGGTGAACCATCGTTCAGCTTGCAATATTCCAAATCTTGGCTTCAGCCATTCCACCACATCTTCCTTTCTGCATATGACCGCTGTCGCATTGCTACGAAGGACGATACATTCCACCTCGTCTTCACCCTAGCTTCAGTGTCATATGGCTTGTCGGATGAGCATGCACTTGTCCCAACACTCCTAGCCTTCGCTACAGTTCCCAAAATTCGCACCCTGGGTGACCCACCGGAGTTTGCGTCGTATGATCTCTCGGATGGTTTCATGCCTTCCAGTGTAGTGTTGGACAGCATCATCAGTTCGTGTGTCAAGGATTATGAGACCAGCAAAGAGAGATACCTACCTGCAAAGAGAGGGGAAGATGAAAAGGCTCTTGGGAGGCGTCGTTATTCAGCTTTTGAAGATAGGTGTCATTCTGAAAAGCATCTCATTCTTCATAAAGTTCAGGATGCTTGGCCGCGCGAAAATCCTCCGGCCCTGAACACGCTGCAAGCGAACTGCTATGATCTCAACAAACTGTCGGAGAAACTTCGCCCACTATACCGCAGCTGTTGGGCAAACCATTGTCTGAAGCAACACTTGGATGTCCTGCAAGAGACCCTCAACTCGTTCCATGCCACTAATGCCCCGTCAAAAATACCCTCACAATACGATCTTGATCCCCACCTTCAAAGCTCGGTTGTTGCTTCACCAGCCTCATTCGTTGATGCCAATTACCTTTTCGCTAGAAATCCGCCTGTTATATGCATGAATGGGTCTTCCCATGTTCTACCCAATTCCGATCAGAAAAATTTGCAACAGCTTATCAACGGCTTTCGCGACCGAGCAAGCAACGAGTTCCGCCGTAACTATGCCAATGATCTGGACCAGAGCAGGCTGATGTTTTGCGAAGAAAAGATTGTTGCCTTACCAGATCCTGCGCCATACACGATGGAAGTATTGCGAGAGTACCATTCTCTTCATCGCCTGCACTTCCAAGATGCACTCAAATCTATCGTACGCATCCTCTCCCCTGTCTCTCCCGCCGAGAATGCGTTATACAATGCTGGGTTGTGGCCTCGAGTCACTCCAAATCTCCTCTTCGCTCGCATGGCTTCTGCATCAGGATGTAGTTTGGGGACGGAGTGGCGTACAGCTCTTGTCTACCTGTCGCAGATGCTTTTGCGACTGCAACGCTCGAGAAGGCTGTTTATATTTGCCACTACCAAGAACTGGGGCGAGTTCTTCAAGGAATTGGAGAATGAAGAATGCGAGCGGTCTGATTCGGAGCTGTGCCCTGATTGGCTCCTAATACAGGTAAGCTTCAGAGAGAAGTCGTTCATTCACGACTGTTGACGATAAGTGTTGCAGATTGAAAGTCAATTCTTGGCACGGCCTGTCCAAATGAAGGTTGCGTGGGAGATGATATCACCCCACGAGGGGCGAAATACTTCTCTCCAATTGAACATGGGCGAAGGGAAATCCTATGTGATCGTTCCTCTCGCAGCAGCCGCACTTTCCGATGGCCAAAAACTGGTTCGAGTAATCGTGCTGAAGTCGTTGTCTACTCAAATGTTCCAGCTCCTGGTTGAACGACTAAGCGGCCTTACGCAGAGGCGCATTTTCTATATTCCATTCTCCCGCGCGCTTGAGATCGACTCATCGAAGGTGCAAATGTATCGTGACCTGATGCAAGAATGCATGAAAACCAAGGGCATCTTGCTCGTGCAACCAGATCACATCCTGTCATTCCAGTTGATGGCCGTTGAGCGTCAGCTACTCCCTCAGTCTGAAGCTGCTGAAGATATACTGCAGACTCAGCTGTGGCTCGATAATCATACACGCGATATCCTAGACGAAAGTGATGAAATTTTACATGTTCGCCACCAACTGGTGTATACCGTCGGCCTCCAAAGGTCGCTTCAGGGTCATCCTGACAGGTGGACGACTACACAACAAGTTTTGAGTCTTGTTGCAAAGCACGCTACTCAGCTCATCAGAAAATTTCCCTCTCACTCGGAAGTGTCTATTCGCGAGCACAGAGCATTCCCCTTCATTCGAGTTCTGCACCCCACAGCAGGTGAAGAACTGGTCCAATGGATCGCACGGGATGTCATTTACAGCGGGGCACTTGAAATCATCAGCTTCGATCAAGCTCCTGACCACATCAAACGAGCAGTCCATCAGTTCATTGCAACCGAGAATGTATCCAGCACTGATATCAGTTTGGTGAAGGAGCGCTATGAAGACACTACTGTTTGGCCCGGTCTTCTACTTCTGCGTGGACTGCTGGCATGTGGTGTCTTGGTGTATGCCCTCAGGGAACGTCGTTGGCGCGTGGACTATGGCCTTGCCCACAAACGAACGATGTTAGCTGTTCCGTTCCGTGCTAAAGACATGCCCTCGCTGCGGGCAGAATTTGGCCATCCAGATGTTGCTGTCACTCTTACGTGCCTATCATACTACTATGCGGGCCTCACGCTCCAGCAGTTGATGTTATGCTTCGAGCTCCTGCTGAAGCAGGACAATCCTGCTCTCGAGTATGAATCCTGGGTACTTGGACTTCCCTTCGTCCCAGAAAGTCTGCAGCGCCTTAACGGAATCAACACAGAATCTACAGACCAGCTAAATGACCTTCGGCAACTGTTTGCAACCAACAAGGCAGTCATAGATTTTTACCTGTCTCGAGTTGTTTTCCCCAAGGAAGCCAAGGGTTTCCCCAGTAAGCTCACCTGCTCCGGATGGGATCTCGCCAAAAAAAAGAAATATGTCACAACTGGCTTTTCTGGTACAAATGACAATCGATATCTGCTACCAAGCTCAATTGTGCAGCACGACCTTGACTACCAACGCGGCACGAATGCTCGAGTCCTAGCCTTTCTTATGCGCCCGGAAAATGATCACTACGAAGATATACCACCCGGCCAAAGCGTGCATGACTTCATTGATACTCTCGTCAAAAAAAAACCTGAGGTCCGTGTGCTCCTAGATGTGGGGGCGCAGATGCTAGAATTGAGGAATAAAGAGTTGGCTGAAGCATGGCTTAGAGCTACTTCCAACGCCAAGGCTGCAGTCTTCGTGAATGACGACGATGAACTCGTTGTTGTCAGTTTGGATGGGATGATCGAGCCCCTTGTGTCGTCCCCTTTCGCACAGCAGCTTGACCAATGCGTGGTATATTTAGACGATGCCCATACGAGGGGAACAGACATCAAGCTGCCTCACGGTTTCCGAGCTGCTGTCACGCTTGGCCCCAAAGTGACGAAGGATCGCCTAATGCAAGGTTCGTGATTCCAGAGGTCGTGCATGTCGGTTTTGATATTAATTATTGATGATAAAGGATGTATGCGAATGCGCAAGCTGGGAAATGGGCAATCAGTAATGTTCTTCGCTCCAGCTGAAGTTGACCGGAGCATTCGTTCGGCAACTCAGAAAGCTGGTGATGACCCTGTCAATGTGTCAGATATGTTGCACTGGGCGATGCTTGAAACTTGCAATGATATTGAGATGCGCACACTATCCTGGATCCAACAACGATCAGATTTCAATACACGGCATTCCGCATGGACTCAATTCTCGCACGCCTCTACCACTTCAATTTCTATCCTAGAGACAGCCTGGTTGCAGCCAGAGGAACGTTCATTGAAGGAATTGTACGCGCCACGCAGTTCTTCTGAGGCATCGCAGGGTTTCGATTCAGACATCCAAAGGAAGTGCGAGGAGCTCGGAATTCTATCAGCTCACAAAAGGAGCATGGACGAGGAACAAGAAAGGGAGGTGATCCATGAGGTAGAGAGAGAACGTCAACCGGAAAGACCGCCCAAGGTGGAAGCCGCAAAGCCGAACATGCATGCAGACGTTCGTCGATTCGTGAAGTCTGGCCGAATTGCCGCAGATTCTCCCGCGTTCATTCAAGTGCTATCCAGCCTTGTTGACACTAGTGCTGAATTTGATGAGCGCGATCAGTGGGCACGCAATGTTTTAGTCACCCGCGACTTCGCACATACGGTGGGAACTATATCTGGCACCCAAAAAGTGGATGATTATCTGCGGCCCGTCAATTGGATTGTATCCAGTAACGTTGGCCACCCAATGCTGGTAGTCATGAGCCCGGATGAAGTGAACGAACTACTACCTGATATCCGCACGAGCAAGGTAGTTCACCTGTGTGTCTACACTCCTCGCATCATACAAACGATGCAGGCATGCGACAACCTTCGACTCTATTGTGTTCCTTCGGCCCCACGGTTGACACCATCACAACCGCTGATCTGCCAGCTCAATCTTTTTGCGGCCCAACTCTATTTCTCCGATTACGACATGTATCTGCACACTTGCAGCTTCTTAGGACTCAATGCGCCGGATTTGAAGGGAGAGGACTTGGTAGCCGACGACGATGGGTTCATCAAGATAGACAATCGCCCTTCTGCGAGAGCATCATGCATGTTCAAGCGATCCCAGCTTTCTCCACTGAAGGAGTTGTTCGGGATGAGAAGGAAAGGCATGGGGTATCTACCAACTCATCTCGGAAAGATGCTCAACGGCCGCATTCTGACCGAGAAGGACTTTCTCGAATGAACGCCAGGTCTATTCAGTGAGTGTTAGCGCCTCTCTATCTGCTAGGAACCTGGCTGACTGTGGTTCTGATCACCAGCAACTAAATACGGCACCAAAACTGACCTCCGAATCAATGTAATATTAGCGTCTGTAATGTTCTCTGTAAACGTAGTCGAATCTAGAGCTCTTGTATTTGGTTTGAAAGAGGGCTCCCATGTCAATCGTAAGACTTGAGATTCAATGCACCGGTGAGCGATTGACAGACGGATAACCCTGATGCATTGCTAGTAGTGGAGTATCGAGTGCACGGTCCACAATGTCTGGCTCTGGTGCAAATGTCTTAGATGCACGACGGGCAGCTATGGTATCAGTCTATAATTTGTATGCATCGGGAACACGTTGTAAAACGTTGCACGTTCTCTTCTGGTGCAGTACAAAGTAGAAGTCCGCGCATAAGACAAGAGAGAATGAGTCTGAGGACGACAGTATTGGAAGAGAATGTGTCACTTACAAGACATTCTTCATGCATTTTCCCAAGGGATGCATTATTCCAATTGTAAGCAGAAGCGGTGAGTGGAACAAGATGTATTCTGGACCCGAGGATGATTGTGTATCGTGTATTCCGAAGAGTACATCGGGCGGAGAGGACGAGACAGGTGGACATATACTTATTCTCAGGCTTCCATTCAAACTTTCTTGTGTGATAGACCTATGAACCAGCAAGTATGTGAAGAAATTGTTCAATCGACGATCAGTTTGAATTGATGCAGATAGTGACTCTCGATTCAAGACGTACTATGCCTCACGGCTGTATCGTCACCCCCATAAGTCGTCAGGTCACGCATTGTCACTGCTGCCGCTTTCAGAGTCCGCTCGGCAATGCCTAAGAAATTTGTATTACAGCCTCAGGTCAATGATTGGTTAGTGTGATGTGGAATATAGTATGGGGCGCGACTGTAATTGTATGGTGCAGGATATGATATAAACTTGATGCTGGTGTGATTCCGCTGCTCATAGGATTGCCTTTTGAGCCATGTTTCAGTCGTCGGCTCACTAGCACTGACAAGTCGTCACAGCCATTGGTTTAGAACTCCGCCACGGCAGCGCTCGGATGACTGTCACCAGCGTGACTTGGACGGCTTTCAATGAACTTCACCATTTCTCAATAAAAATCAGACATTCAACCTCGCAATGAAAACTGCATGATAAAAACATTGATCCAAGTTGTAAATTGTGTGTGGAAGTGAGAATTGAGTGAGATATTCAGGTCGTGACGACTTATGGGGGTGACGACTCAGCCGTGAGGCATAGTATGGAGATCAAAGAAGGGTACGCGTCAAACGAACCGCTTGTCGTAGGACTTGTAATGAATAGTCGGACCGTCGGTTGCGTGGAGGGAAGCATTGTAGAATCATCGGTCTGCATTCTAGCGTATCAATAAAAAATAACAAAGATCCATGAAACAGTAATCGCTAAAGCAAATTCATACAGGATACCAGTATTTCAATTTCAAACTATACATATGTGACAGTCTGGGGGAAGGCATGCAGCGCCATTCATCACAACGAGATAGCTGAGTGAAAAAAGGTTGAACACCGTAGCATGAGTAGCATTACCGGAAAGACTCACTCAGGATCCAAGAATGTAAGCCGGTCTTCGTAGCTTCATTGCTTTCATTCATCGCGAAACGATACGATTCGAAGGCTTCTCCAAGCCTGCCAGCCTTAAGGAGCGCAAGAATCAGTTTCTTGTTGGAGGCTTCCCACAAGGCCTCGATGTCCCATCCGAAGAGCTGCAAAACAGGTGCAGTTGAGCACAGGTGAGTTTCCTGGTGATGTGGTATCAAACGTACAACAGTGAAAGCCTCGCAAGCAGCAGGAGCGGCGGATTTAGCCAAGAAAGTGCTAGCCTTGACAGCGGCAGTGAAGTGCTCGACAGCTTCACCATGACGCGCGCTATTGAAGGCACTGGTTCCTAGTTGGAGTCGCAGACTCGCCTGATGCACAAAGCGCAAATCAATCAGTTAGTACACGAGTATAAGTAGGATTGAGAACGCGAGACTCACCACCACGACACCACAAACGAAGGGATCGGCAGAAGGATCAGTAGACAGCTGATCCACACGAACCACTGCCTCTTCGTGTCTGTTAGCATTGAAGATTGCAATAGCCTGAAATACATGATGAAGCGCAAGGTACGGGAGACGAAAAGATCAACCTACCTTGATTAAGTAAAGGAACACAGTAGCATCCACGTTTCCCTGAGTGAACGTGAACCCCAGGTCAAAGGCTGTCCTCGCGTCCTCGAGAAGTTGTTTTCCGCAGAGGGCGATACCTCTGGCAATATAGCCAGCCAACGATGTCCGTATGGCAAGGGACTGTGACCATCGAAATCAGCGAAATCTTAACCAGGGCGTGCTGAGTCGTTGTTACCTTGTTTGCATCCTTGAAGGCATTTTCCCAGTTGTGTTTGCGTGCCATAACAAAAGAGCGGTTGGCATAGGACGCGAAGTTCTTGGCATCAGCAGTAATCTCTTGAGTGAGGACCTTTTCAGCGGTAACCAAGTCCCCTGTGATGGATGCAATGCGGATGGTCTTGGTGATAGCAAGGAGCTCATCCGTGGTGACAAGTGTCTGCATGAAAAAAGGCTCAAATAGTGCCATATGAGCAAAGGACAAAGTCATACCTTTGAAACATATTGTTTCGACTTGGTAACAAATTGTTCAGCCTTGGAAACGAACTGTTCATTCGATACAGACTGGACAGTCAAAGGTGATTGCCGAGACCTGGAAGCGAAGGTTGTGGTGGCCAAAGCTGCCTGCAGAGGCTTGGAATCGAAGGTTGTGGTATTCAAAGTTGCCTGCAGAGAATTTGAATCGAAGCTTCCACTAGTGGAAACTAAGTGTAGACGCTTGTAATTGGAGCTCTCAGTCGTCGAAACTGGCTGCGAAGACTTGAAATCGACGCTTCCAGTTGTCGAAATTGCGTGCGGAGAATTGTAGTCGAAGTTTGCAGTCGTCGAAAATGCCTGCAGAGACTTGGAATCTGGGCTTCCAGCCGTCAAGACTGCCTGCGGAAACTTGTAATTGAAGCTCTCAGTCGTCGAAATTGCCTGCAAAGGCTTGGAATCGAGTATTTCAGTTGTCGAAACTGCGTGCGGAGAATTGTAATCGAAGTTTACAGTTGTCGAAACTGCCTGCAGAGACCTGGAATCTGGGCTTCCAGCCGTCAAGACTCCCTGCGGAGACTTGTAATTGAAGCTCTCAGTCGTCGAAATTGCCTGCAAAGGCTTGGAATCGAAAATTTCGGTCGTCAAAACTTCCTGCAGAGACTCTGAATCGGAGCTTTCAGTCTCTGAATCAGATCCTATAGCCTTTGAATAAAAATGAGGATGAGACGAGCGAACGTGTAGTTAATTGGATGTTACCTTTGACGCTAGCCGCCGCTTGAGAGCAGGTTCTAGAACCTTTGAATGAAAAAGATGCAAGATGAGATGACAATAGGAAGGTAAACTGATTGGAAATTACCTTTTCCTTGAAAGCATACGCTGGCAAAATACCCTCGGGTGCTATCCAGTCTGTGACTTTCTTATCATAACCTCCGCTAAGAATGTGCGTGCCATCCGCGGAGAAGGCTGCATAAATGACAGAAGAAGTGTGCTGGAAGGTGGCGACAGTTTGTTTATCAGAGAGCTGCCAGAGACGAACGGAGTTGTCGCTAGAGGCGGAAACTGCATGCGTGCCTAAAGAATTGACGGCGATAGAATTGACTTTGTATGTGTGGCCCGTCCAGGGAACGCCGACCTGCGTCCAGCTCGACGTGTCCCACTCCCTTATGCTGGGATCATGGTCATCTCCTCCCGAAAAAAGGCGCGTTCTATCAGGAGACCAGGCGAGTGACAACGTGCCGTGACTGTGACCGTTCAACTTCTTTTGAAGTTTCTCGCCGATGTAAATTTGGATATCTTGGTCTGTTGCAACCGCAAGCATGTATACGCCAGACCGCGCATACCGAACGCAGCGGACAGTAGCACCGCAGTCGTAGCTTACGGGGTATTGCGTCCATGTTTTGGTGTTCCAAAACCTGACCGTCTGGTCGTTCGGTGCCCACGACGCGGTGACGATGAACGCATTGTCGGGTGAAAAGTCCAGCGAGCGGACTGCGCTGCCGTGGACTTTGAGTTTGGTGAGGGGTTCCCCGCCTTTTGTCTGCCAGGCAATGAGCTCTCCGTTCTCATCACCGGTCGCTATCATCTGCCCATCTCGCGATACTGCCAATCCCATGACCTCACCGGTGTGTCCCTCCATTTTCTTCAATACTTCACCTGTGTTCAGGTCCCACAGACGAACTAGCCTGTCTTCTGAGGAGGTCACTATCTGTTGACTGTAGGGAACATCTGAGATTGCGTAGACCGTATGTGTGCGATCTTCGAGCACTCGAGTAGGAGTGGTGATAGGAATGAGCTGAACCATTTTGCTAGAGGTTGGTGGTGTTGAGCACTGTGGGATGAACTTGGTAAAGTGATGCTGGATGTAGTTCAATATGTGCGTGCGCTGCGCGTTTTATACTGCTTTATTTGACGATGAACAGGCACTTATCACCTTGCTTGATACATTTCGGATACGTAGGAACACAAGACCGGTGGCATGTGAACATTGTGGACTTCGGGCTACCGGTAAACGTGCAGAGTGTCCTGGATAGTGTGGACATTCTGGATCCAGCCCTTCAGGTCCCCAGGTTCACGGCTGTGTTCAAATGAATTTGCCATGACCAAATTGTGATATCTGCCACTAAATCGTGTTCAGGGACCTTACGGGACCGACACCAAATCACGCACAGGCACCTTGCAGACTGCCGCATCAGACGTAGCGGAGAGACGCAAATCTATAAAATTTTAGTGGCGCATAAAAAACACCAAGGTATCTATCAGATTTACGTCATACTATTCAGTTCATCCTACATAGTTGTTATGTGCAACTGAGACTCACCAACTGACGTCCTCGTCATCCGACAATGAAATGGCATTGCGATTGTTCATCGAGTCGTCATCGGCAGCCGGTGCACAGCTCCATAGGGGATAGGACAGGAACAAGACGTTCAGGTATTGACCAGGCGTGGTCAGGTGCCTGTACATTTGCCTCAGGCCGACCGGAGTTTTGATAGCTGCGAGGCTTCTTTTCTGATCGGTACTACACGCCTGCAACCAAAACCATGTCGAGCAAGGTACATACCTGCGCTGTCGTACAACCAAATTATTACCCATAACAGACCATTATTGAACCGCGCGCTCTGATTGACACTCGCATAATTGTACCGTTTCGTTGTGCGCACTGCGGACCTAACGTAGGACATCCAGCACTCTATCAAGCATCTGATCAATGTCACAGAAGCAAAGCACGAGTACTTCGCCTCAGCAGAGTACAATTCAATACCCAGGATTGTGACGCTCAGCTGATTCTTGGCCACATTGGCACTAGTACTCACCACGTGCTTCGAATGTAAAAACAACTGTGTTCCAAAACGCACGGCCACCGCGATGGGCCCTGGACGCAACTTCAGCAAACTCAAAAACTTTTGACAAAAGATTCCAGAGATCTACGGGTGAGATATAGTAAAAGAATTTAATTTTCCCCATCACTGTAGTAAAGAGACCAATGGGACATACAGCGGACGCTCACTGGCAGTTCCGTCGGAAATGAAAAGACAGTGGTTGTTTCCACGATCATACCGTAACGTTAGCATTACTTACAACTTTCCAGCGAATGGGAGCTTACTTGCTACATTGTCCTGTAACTGGTCGGCATAGGGTACGTTCCGAGCTGTAACTAGTCGGCATAGGGCATGCACCGAGAGATTATAAATGGTTTTTCCTTACAAAGTCTTCGGCAATGCTGGCCCTCGGCAGAGCAGTTGTTGAGCGTGTGCAACTGCAACATAAATCAATCGACTTGTTGAATCTATCTGACATTCAATTACAAAGAGGCGTTTTCGTCGTTCGACGTCGGACTCGGAGCCGTATAACTTCCTTAATTCGGCACAAATTATAGGTGACATGGAAACCTCAATATTTCCCGCGATCTGGTTCCGTCTACTGACCGTGTTTCTATTTTCCATAGGATTGGTTCTGTCACGAGGAGAGTAGCGTTGGCTCCAGTCATCGGTAAGTCCACATAATTCTGGAAAGCGGTACGATTACACACTTAGTCCAGGGAGAAACCATCGTGCTTTGTGTACCCGGATTCCCAAGCGGTAAGGGCTAGTATTCGTGGTCTTGAACTGTGATTTCTGAATGTACTTTGGTGGTGTGCAGATACAGTTCTTGCACATCAGCTTCGAAAGAAATTCTGAATAACTCGCTCCTGCGACAATTCATTGCTTCCCAACTCTAAACTTACACGTCTTCCATCCTGTAAATAACATGCATCAAACAAGCACCACGCTATCCAACACTGAAAACCCAGCTGCAACACCGCCCTCATTACTCTCTGTCCCCTTGGTCCTCACAAGCCATCCTACCTCCCTCTCCACCACCTCCCCCTCTCCAAATAATGCGTACCCAAAGATACCCAGCTCAGAGATAACCTCTACGCATACGACTTTCTTCTCTATGCTCCCGTTGTCCGTACCCGAACTCGACGGAGATGCGCGTACGAGGTAACCGCTTACCCCGCGTGGCGTTTCGATCATCTCCATTGCGACCCAGGCTTCACGCTCTTCAGCGGGTAGAGCATCTAGGAACGCAGGAATGGCTTCACGGTAGACGTTATTCCCACCTCCCTCACGCTGGGGCTTCAACACGAGCGACGGGGCCTTAAGGCGCGCGAGACGTGTCCCGGGCGGTACGCTTCCTTGTGCTTGTCCTGAATCCGGGAGGTGATCAAGCGCAGCGACGATATCAACATCTTCCGAGTCGAGTGCCCACATGCCCATCCAGGTGGCCCGGATATCTGCTGCGTGTGCTGTGAGATCGAGAGCGCGTGCACCCCATTTTGCGCCTTCGTTACTGAGGAAGCGCTCGAGTACTCCAGGACGCGTGAGTGCTTCTTGGACTTTCTTCCCGCCTGCGAGTTGCAGGGGAAGAGAGGGACATTTGATGGCGCGGCTACGCTCTAGGAGGAAACGCGTATCGTAGTAGGAGGGTGATGGGAAGTCCGAGGGGGTGTAAGTTGCACGGAAGTATATAGTGGATATTTCGTATGGTGAGGAATTAGTCGGGGATGTGAGTATGAGTGCATGTGTGGAGGGGTCGAGGGATGCAGAGACGGCTAGGTCAGCGAGTGTTTGACGGACGACGTGGATTTGATGTCTGTTCTAGCGGATTAGTCTGTTGATGATGAGAGAGATGGGAATGTACTTCTCGAGTAATTCATACTCTAACCATTGTTGGTCGAAAACGTTGCGTTCATTGGGTTGCACGACGAACAGGATGCGTGCGCTGGATCGATGTGAGTTCACGAATACATGCGTACTTGAACAAAGTTAGAACTGACTCTTGAACGCCATACGCTTCGTGAGCCTTGGAAAGACCTTCAACGAGACCAGAGGTGGTGCTGTTCTCTGGGAAATTGTCTGCAGTAAGATGTGGAGATGCAGAAAAGTAGGAGGTGGACGCCAGGATATTTCTATACCGCATCAGCGTTTACGAAAGATATCTTGAAAACTAAACACACCTATGCATAGCAGCCGCACGCTCAGAAAGCGGACCAAAGGACGAAGATATAGTATTAAACTCGACCTGCTTCAGTGCAAGTCTGTCTTCTGCAGCATGTAACAGATAATCCGATCTAAACAGGCCAAGGTGCAACGGCTATGTGCCATCAATGCTCCACCACACGACAGAAGAAAGAAGTCTCAAACGCACTTGTGCTAGTACGCCGTGCTCCCTGATCTTCTTCCATCCCTTCCATAGCGTCCCAGTAAACTCATCCGCCTTTCCTACGCCCTCCTCGGCGCCCATTACTGTATCTAAGAATTGGGTATCCATCGCTACGCGTGCATAGAGCACATTATATACGCTCTGCAGCTCTCTTGCAGCCTGGAATTGCGCACGGGGGAAGGGCGCGGGAATGAGTGAGAGGGGGGCATGGATTGCGGTGGTTGGTATGCGTGGTTGGGTATTGGATGGTGATTGGGAGGGTGGAAGGTAAAGTAATCCGTGGGAGAGCGCGTATGTTGTTGCGGCGAGCGTCAGAGCTTCTAATTGCTCTGGAGTTAGCTGTGGAGGCCAGGTAGAGAAGTTGAAGGAGGTCATCAGTGAATGGGTTAGTACGTACCAACGAATTATAGGCAGATATTAAGATAACACTGGCACATGCCATCCACCCTAATGCTTGCGTGATTCCTTCTCAGGCTGGTAACTTTATAATTGACACAGTGCACGCTCACAAGGAATCGACTACTACCAGTGCGTGGCACTATGAATCCATCCAGAGGGATTATTTGAAGTGAACGTTGCAAGGTGAGGCAACATCCACCTATACATCATCATGATCGTACTACGTAGCGGTTGAACGTTACCGTTTAATGGTGAGCTGTCATTGTCGTTATGATTTTACCACTATGGACAGAGATTATATACAAGCTTCCCGCCGTCAGCGAGCCAGCAGGCGACTTTCCGCAAGGTTTTACAAGATTTCTGTTAATCTTCATGCCTTGACCGAACGGGGCTGCATCGATATCATCGGGATGGTTGCTGGCAACACTTGTCAATTACCGGTTGTTCTCGCACTTGTCTGTAAATCTGCCAATCTGTGAAGGGTAGGTACCCCTCTACATATTTCTGTAAATCATCGTCCCGCACGAGCCATCTGATTCAAGTGTTCTTTGAAGCAGAATGTGCGGGATCTGGCCTGTGTCTTCTTGGTGGATTGATCGGATTCAGAAAATGCCGGGAAGTTTGTCGAGATTGCCGTATGATGTCACTATATCAGCCTGCCCAACCTCCATCTCGCCTGCCTACCATCAGGATCTTTACCTCCATTTCTTCTGATCCCTGCGAGTCTCTCACTGCCTGTCTGTCTACGGCTTCCTCTGTGTTTGCCGATTTTTCACCCGCCTGCCAACACCATGTTGGCTAGAACCGTGACAGCAAGTTGACAATGAGGACGAGATTGGCATTTCACCATTTTAGACATTCTAAGCAGTAGATGTGATACTATTGTTGATCATACCCAAACCCGACCGACCTCCATAGCCTACTTCAGAAGATTCCGTACGACCTTCAAATCCGTATACTATTTTGCATCTGGAAACCGATCCTATGTGTACTTGGGAAGCTCTATTTTAGTTGGTGGTAGCATCAGTGTACGAGGTTGGGGCAAACCCGACGCGGGAGCGGGAGGTATCGAATATACAGTAGAAGCGCTCGGTGAATGGGTAGCCATTAACAAAGTCAAACCCTTTGCCACTTGGCGTACCAAGGTCGTTGACGACGAGATACATGGCGTTGCTGCTACCACCAATGTAGGTATTGAGAATACGAGGCCAGAGTTGGCCATTAGGGGTGAGAGAGAAGGTTGCCTGTGAAAATGGTAAATAAGGAATGCGAGGGCTGACAGAAATGGCGCACGCTGCCAATATTGAAGTTCAGGTTCTGGAGGGCTCCGTACTGGGTAGAGGAAATGAGGAGAAGACCAGTCGCCGCATCCAGAGTACCACCGGTTAAAGACTGGTACTGGTCGAAGGCATCTACCTAACGATTAAACTATGATTACTCGTTGCACTCGAGATACACACCTGTAGCAATGTGAATAAAGGTGGTTCCAACATCGACGATACCAGCAGTGGAGGACAAGATCGTCGTGGAACCGTAGGAAATGCTCTGGTCGATGCCCCAATACTTCGATGCAGGACTGGTGGTAGTGATAGGACTGAAACAGAACGATTACTATTAGCCTGGATTGATCTAGGAACTGAGTTAGCTTACGTGTACGTAATGGGACCGTGCTTGTTACGGACAGTTCCACCAAAGGTGAGCTCTCCATTGACCATTGACTGCGTTGAAGTGGTGGGCTCGAAAGAGATACTAACAACCTCACGATGAATGGTGCCTTGGCTATGCAGGTTGTCAGTGACAGTCGGGACCGTTATTGTCACGTCTTCTGTTAGGGAGCCCGCTGTCAAGCCTACAGGCCCGAGGCCAAGGATGCCGTCAGCTTCGCCGAAGTTGCCCGACGTCTCAGTAGCAACACCGATCCACTGTTGGGCGATGGTGAGCCCATTACCGAAATCGAAAGTGTCCGTGTACTCAGTTCCTATAGATAGTCATAGGTATCTTCAACAACTTGTGATATCTTTGTATGTCATACCAGAGAAGTAGCCGGCACCGTAGGTGACCTTCACATATTCACCAGTGTTGACGCTGGTGCTGGTCGGCACGTACGGTGTGCGGGCGCCAACCCATGTGTTCGAGGTACCGGTGTCGACGATCAAGTAGTCTTCAACAATACATCAGCAGCCGCATATTTCCTCAGTGTTGAACTTACAAGTTGTGGCGGGGTTACCAATGCCAACTGCTGCGTAGTATACAGTACCAAGGTTGGCCACAGGAATGCTATGGCCGCCGTGCTTCAAGTTGTAGTCCTTAAGCCTGAAGGCCGCCACGCGAGCTTTATCCTGCTCCAAGGCGTTAATGGTACCATTGAGGACACTTAGCCTCCTGGCAATGGGGAGGGTGATGGGGGAATTGTTAACTTCAACGGGCGATCCCGTGATTGACAAGGCCAGGAGGAGAATTGTCAACAAGGATGCAGCGGCCATACTACTGACTCAGACTCGAAAGCAACATCATACTCAGTGGTCTGTTATATATGCGCTGGTAAACCCGAATATTGATCTTGGCCACGTATAAAACGATGATAAAATAGTGGCGGTCCGAGTATTGTGAGTGCAAGGATTCCGAGTTTCCTGATACAACAAGTGACGAGAAGTTGGTTTTCAGTTGAGGAATTTACAATTCACCTGTTTACCCATGATCCATTGATTCATTAACTGACCTCACGTTCATTTCCGTAGAGATACACCTCAGAGGAACGTTGGTGTCAGGTTGGTGTAGCAAGCGTTGCCGAGGAGAGCAGCTCTCCTTGTTTGTCCCAGGTCTGTTAATGATCGAGTCGTTGAATTCGTGCCATGTGAGGCCATTCGCCAACTCGACCCGAAACCATAGAATAGAATGATAGTGTCAAGACGAAGCAGTACTTGATGAAGCAGGCCATTTCATGGAGCACGTCGGCTGGTTACACATGGTCCAATGCCAGTGTTTCATTTACGCAAGTGGGAAATTTTGCCGGAAGTTGCATGACTATAGAGTCGGACCCTCTACCATGAAGGAAATAAGTGCATTCAACTTGAAGTCACTTATCAGAAATCACGATAGTAGTCGTAGCATGCAATTTCAAAACCTATATATGGCAAGCGAAGGTCATCTCATGACATACCATTCCGGGTCAACAGCCCCAGCAGGGTGACCTAGGCCCATCATGACGGGTGACCGGTCATATATGCATGGATCAGGAATTGCTGTTGAGGATCAATCGTTCATCATATGTTCAAGTTGGATGTATGCTGGTTTCTCATCATGTGCTAGTCATTGCGAAGCCTTTAGAACTGCCGGGACGCTTGTATGCACTACCAGACTGATATTCCAGGGATAAGCACATATCATTTTAATACTACATGGCGTGCATTACAAAAATCTACAACATGCATGATTGAAACTCTAGGGCGCCGAGTGACGAGAAAGGTCCAAATGGTACAATGACACGACAGCAATACAAATGGAAAAGCAGCGAGTGAAGGCGTGCGGACAGCAACAGACAGTAATACGAGAGATAGAGCCGGTGAATGCGGCGTTCCTGTGGGACATGCAAAATCGTGATACGGTAGAATCGAGTGGTGAACTAGTTTTCAAGCAGTCAGACTAGTATGCAAGGAACAAGAAACGTCGTACCAGAGAATGCCAAGTTACTTTCGACCCTTGCGTTTCTTACCAGCGCTCTTGCTGCTCTCGCCTGCCTTGGCCCGCTTGCCTGGTTTTGGACGTTTTACTGGAGAAGGAGCAACTGATTCCGCGTCGGTCAGTGGGCTGTCGCTATCAGCCAGAAACTCCGCAGATGGACGCCTTTTGGGCACTACGGTCTGGGACACAGTGGAAACTGATGCGGGCTTCAGCAAATAGTCAGTAGGAGTCAATGCTCGTGCAGGAGGCGGAGTGGGTGCAGAAGGAACATGAGCACTCGAACTTGAAGAAACATGTTGAGCGGTACGTTTGATGGGGCGAGGTCTAGGAATGGGCCTTGCGGGTGTTGACACAATCAAGTCTTCTGGAGGAGGAGTACTTGCAAGAAGGAATGGTTCCCTTCTTGATGTAGACGCAGTAGTCGAAGCACTCATCATTGAGGGACGCTCAAAGTTAGGTGCGCACGTCGCACACCGAATTGTCATAGGTGAGTAGCTAATCCCATTTGTGCCAGCGACCAAGCTCACAGCAACAAGAAGCAGTGAGGTCGACTCGTTCGAAACGACTAACCACAGTTAGTATGGTAGCCATACTTATTAACGGCAAAAAAACGATGCAGAATCCGAACACTGCCGCCTATAGTGTTATATTTAAAATGACATCGGAGCAATGAAGTTTACGTAAAATACTCCCGTTGCGGTGTGCTACCATGGGTTTGTTTGGCGTCCATCACTAGTACTGTGCTGCAATGTTACTTGTTGGCAGGAGGCCAGGTAGAAACCCTCTTATATGAAGTAGTGGGCATGTATTCCCATTAACCTTCCCACAGAATACGGTGAAGACTAGGTCTACCTTGCTTTCTCACAAGTTGCAGGTAAGCTACTGAAGGCAGTACGGTGGCGTTGGTAGCGCATCGTCATGAATGATGATTAATTGATTGTTGATCTGAGTTCCACAGCCTTGTCACTCATATCACAATCACCCTTTGATCCCTCTACTGATCGACATGGGCGTTGATCGTGTTGCAATACTTGGCGTATCTTAGCATGAAACTGCCAATGTGTAAACATTGTAACACAGCTGTCAGTTGTGTGTGTGCTTAAATGGTAAACTTGCGCGTAACGAACAGCGAGAGCGTTGATTTTCTTTCCACAAACTTGACGCATGATGGATCACCCTACTGCTTTGTTCGTCGACGCTGGCATCCAGGCATCTAAGGTGCGCAACGAGTCGAGCTCTAAATAACTCTGATTAACCCTTACGCCCAGTACTTCAATGGTACGGATCATATCTGATGCTTGTACATATATCGTGGCTGACTGAATACCCAGTTGGAACGTTTGCTATTTTAGTGAGCGCATTAGCTGACTTGAATATGTGATGCTGATGTCCTTACTTAGATTTTTGATTATTTCATTACCCTGGAGACAGAGGTGCGTGTAGTGCGCTGATTATTGAATTATTTGATGACTGTCCCAAAGTCACAGTGGGTTTGGCACCGCAGATGGACTTTCGTGCGATTTGTATTCACTGTATCACGATACTTGCCATTTTTCGCCATTGGGATGACATTCACGGGTGAGCCACACATGTTCTAACTCGCTTTTTGTGACAACCCTCACGGCTGATGGATAGGTGCGCTTCGAACACAGTACTATCCTGGTGAAAGTGTGAGTGATTACAGCCCTTCAATACCCTGATATTTATAACAATCGTGTAGTGTGTTAGATTTGGACAAGCGTCCAACGGTTAGCGTACACAGTCTACGGTACATTACTTTTCTCATCCAACCCTTACACAGTATTGCATATCATCTGCATTCTAGCCGCAGAAGGTATGTCATGTCCTAAATGAGCTCCCGATATTGACATTTTACCTCTAGGCTTGCTCATAACGAGGATTTACGCTTCCTGGAGGAGTAAGCGTCTACTGGCATTCCTCATCGTTTTTCCCGTCGTATGTTTTTCATTCACCTCTCACCATAAAAGGCTTGGTGCTGAACCACTGCCAGGTTTGTTTCGCGGTCTCTTATATCATATCTGACACTCCCCTGATCTTCAATTCCAAAAACACGACCTCGATTAATATACGTTTGTGATGCAATCTTTGATTTTCGTGACAATCATACTCATGCAAGGTGGACAGCGAATCCGGGCGACTGTCTTTTCGTGGGCGGCAGAAATAATGTTTATGAGTACGCTGCTCTGTTACTGTACGAACTGGGTCAGACGTCTCGTCTTTCAAGAATATTCTTGGACTCATGCATAAATAGTCCTCTTTTGCTTGATGTTGTACATCAGATTCAGCAAGTACGGCAATGCCGTCGGACTACTCCAAAGAACGTTCTTCAACGACTCGGCGAGATATATGATCTGCATCATGAGTAAGATGATTCTGTTCGCCCAAACTCGCCCGTGTGTTGACATCCTACTATCAAGTCGTATCATCGTTTAACATAATTTTGACCATGGCTCCTCCGGTGCGTTGCAGTATACCTGGCCAGCTATCCATGCGCTTATTGTTGAATACAGGTCACATGGGTTTCCATCACAGACTCGTGAGTACATCAACTTGAACGAACGCATCACCAACTGATTGTGTATCACGTCACCAGTCCGCAAATTGTCATCCACAGTGTTCTAGCCTCTCGGATCCTTTTCAACCTACGAGCGAGTGAAGGACAATCGCATATTCATACACTGACGGATGTATCTGAGTTGCAGTTTGGAGGAGGCCGATTTTCAACGGTGGTGTATGGTGTTTAATCAACTTTATGTATGCAGTGCAGGCTTGGTCTTACTGCGTATGTATCCCATGTCACATACTAATTGTACCTACGAACTACGATGTCTGCTTGTCTACTCGGAACCATTACTAAACTTTTCATCAGGAAAACCCTCCGCTACAAACCTAGGCTAAGTATGTGGAGTTTGACAAACTTTTCTCTAATTCCCGATAATTTCACAAAAGTAGGCACCTTAGTGGATTAGAGAAAGTTTTTTACTGCCCCACTATGAAGGGCTGTGCTGGACAAAAATATGAAAATTGATTTTCACAAAACTTGTGACAAAGATTCCGATTTCCAAGTTCTTCTAACAGAAAAGTAAAATGCAAAGAACCAAATGCAAACCAAAATCGATTAAATCTTGACTGACTAAGTGTGCTGATTCCCTGCAACAGCCCTTGGTAACCAGAACCTGGTGTTCTCTGCCACCATACTATCTCAATGGAATGCTCAACAGCGGTGTACAGGTGTGGTCGTCGTCAATACATCACCTTGTTCCCTTTTGTCAACAATGTTTCGTTCTCAGCCCCACCATTACTGTTCTACTCCAATTGTTAGCAGAGCTCGAGGCGCTACCCAGCTATCAGCCCAGGAACACTGTATACCCTTCGCTGGATATGATGCAGTCCAAATGCACCGTATACAGGTGGTCCATGAACTCGTGTGTATAACTCCTGGATGCGCTGACAGGGGACATGATGTTCAAGATGCTTCATGTGACCGTGGATCATCCGACATCCAAAAGCCGGGAAAGTTTGTCTCATAATAGCATCAAGCTCATCATCACTAAGCCCCAAGTGATCTCCATTTGCTGTAGTGAAAAAGTGTGTTGTGTTTCCTTCGTTGTCAGTATAATCAACATAGACAGGCGGACTCAGTTCAGCCAGACCATCATGATACTCCAATGCTCTACGCCGGATAATGGATTGTTCAAGGTGCACATCCAAAGACAGATGCCAGATGGGTTGAACCACGCATACTCCATGAATTTTCGAGGAGCTCAGGTTCAATGTCTATCTGTGTCGTCCTTGTTGACCAGTATGAACTGTGTGGGAGAGTTGAGGTGGGTCTTGGTCCGGACTCCGGGAGGTCCCTGGTCTGCTGACAGATGAACGGCATCATCGAGGGCATTAACCATCTCATGTATGCTTAGGGATCCGCACGGGTATACCCTGGGGTGTCGGGGACCTGACCCGCACCCGCACCCGGCAAAAACCCGTACCCGCTCTGACGGGTACGGGTTTTCGGCGGGTACAACAAGCTCAGACCCGTACCCGCACCCGTGCAGGGTTTACCCGCGGGTACCATAGGTATCACCACCAGTGCTTAGCACATATGTCCAGCACACGTCAGCGAATGCTGACGTGACTCGAACATATGTGGATGGCACAAGAAGGAGGAGTGGAGGCACGGCGCGAATGACGGACGCGTCGAAATAGACGCTGATGTCGTGGCAGGTGGTGTGTCGCATACGATCAAAGTCGAAGGTGAGCGTGTCGAAATGGGAGATGGTGGTGTGGTGGCGCGAGAGTGTGATGTGTCAGGCGTCGCGTCCTCATTGCAGAAAATGGGGGCAGAGTCAGGACGGCGACTTACTGACAAGATCATTCCTTCCTCCTCTCGTTCCTCCTCTTTTCCTTCTCTCTTCGTCCTGGTGTCTTCCGTGTGCATTCGAGCCACGCCAGCATTCGCTGGCGTGGTCTGAGCGTGTACGCTTGATGCTGGCGAGTCAGTCTGTCGCGTAGGTGTTGGCGTCGTAGATGGGATGGTGGTGTTGGTGTCGTGGATGGTGGCGTTGGTGTCGTGGATGGTGGCATTGGCGTCGAGGATGGTGGCGTTGGCGTTGTGGATGGTGGCGTTGGCGTTGTGGATGGTGGCGTTGGCGTCGTGGATGGTGGCGTTGGCGTCGTGGATGGTGGCGTTGGCGTCGTGGATGGTGGCATTGGCGTGAAAGCTGGTGGTGGTGCGAGTGCTGGGCGCACAAAGATAGGCGCTGGCGACGTGACACATATGACGTCGTTGTTGTTGCTGGGGGTAGAGTCTTCAATGTGAGTACTCACTTTCAGCGTGCCCAAAGTCTCGTCTCCTCGAGTTCCTCTTTCCTCCTTCATCTCTATACCATCCCTTCTCCCTTCCTCGATTCTCTTGTCCTTTCGTCTTCGCGTGTCGTCCGCGTGTGTTTGCATCGCGTCAACACTTGTTGACGCGTTTTGGGCGCGCGCGCTGTGAACGTGGAGTTGGTGGACTTGGGAAGGCGCGTTAGGTGCCGGTGTTGGTGGTGGTGCCAGTTGTAGCGTGCACGCGGGAAGTATGGCGTCCGCTATTACTGATGCAGGAGGTGCTACCATTTATGGAAGGCACGGGTATAGCTGGGGTACGGGTAAGAGCGCGGGTCTTAGAATCCCGACCCGTACCCGTACCCCAGTAGTACCCATACCCGTGACCCGCGCGGGTTACCCGTACCCGTGCAGATCCCTATGTATGCTTGTCTGAATGGTAAGAAACTTGTTTTCTGACAGAACATTGGTATGCTTCATTGAATTTGTTGGCATCTCAGTATCAGCTGTTGCAACAGCAAAGAGTGCATCAGGCATTTGACTACAAAATGGCAAAGTTTTAGCTACCTTTATCTAATGCATAATATGACACATATGTATCACAATTGCAGATCACATGATCAAGGAATAGATAGGCAGACTACAATGGCAGGATGTACCATCACTGACAGTGTGGCACCATGGGACAATGAGTTACCATGCAGTGACGCACCGGCACATTTCTACCAAATACATCTAGCTTTACATAGGCAGACTACGATGGCAGGATGTACCATCACTGACAGTGTGGCACCATGGGACAATGAGTTATTGTGCAGTGACGCACCGGCACATTTCTACCAAATACATCTAGCTTTACATAGGCAGACTACGATGGCAGGATGTACCATCACTGACAGTGTGGCAACATGCGACAATGAGTTATTGTGCAGTGACGCACCGGCACATTTCTACCAAATACATCTAGCTTTACATAGGCAGACTACGATGGCAGGATGTACCATCACTGACAGTGTGGCACCATGGGACAATGAGTTACCATGCAGTGACGCACCGGCACATTTCTACCAAATACATCTAGCTTTACATAGGCAGACTACAATGGCAGGATGTACCATCACTGACAGTGTGGCAACATGCGACAATGAGTTATCATGCAGCGATGCACTGGTACATTTCTATCAAATACATCTAGCTTTAGACAGGCAGACTATGATGGCAGGATGTACCATCACTGACAATGTGCTAATGTGTAACATACTGCCAATATTCTGTGAAACCTACAAATATTTACCATGTCAACTTGTAATGGCATATTAAATGTCAAGATGTTACCATACTGTAACAAGTTGCTGATGTGTTGTCAAACATAAATTCCCTTACAGGGATAGCTTGTGAAGGTAGATTTTGCCATTGATAACATTGTGGCTGCATCATTATCTCACCATAGCAAGTTGCTGATGTGGTGACAAACATACGAAATAGCGGAGTAATCATCAATTATATTTTTGATATATATACTACAGAACATGTAGAACAGTATCGAACATTGTGAAATATTTAATTAATTAGCGCTAGCATTGGCCAGTGCTCGAAGGGCAGCGCGTTTCTCCCGAATTTTGGATAGCGCGCTGTTTTTGCTAATAGTTCACTGTGAAGAGGAGGAATTAGGGAAAATGCGACTGTGACGTGTTAATGTAGAGCTTGAAGGTGATGAAATGTATTACGAACCGTGTCCACCAAGTCATGAGGTCAGCTACTTCCTCATTTTCGTCTGGATCCTCCAACAGGTCGAGAATGCTGTGATAAAAGTTTTCCGAGTCCGTAACAGTGTCCGTGCGGGAAAATACAGACGAAGAACTCAATGAAAACCGAACCTAGAGGAACAGTAAGCGAGGGGGATCATCATAAAATTTCCAACACACCTGTGTGGCAATGTAAGCCAGGGATCCTTTCGTCACGGATTTCATCCCATGGAGGTATGCGTTACCGGAGCGCGTAGCTTTCGGTTCCTTTTCCATGGAACTCGGAGAGGTAAACACATGTTTGAAACCCTATCAATAGAAAGAGCATTGAGTAAGAACTTGACCGCTAATGATGACCTTACATAGATAAGTATGTCGCTCCTCAATAGACCCTGCCATGGAGTTTCAGGATCATAGACATACCTAGCATATAGAAACATAGGCCACTGGTCGCCACGGACCGCTGTTTCGCCGCTTTTAAGACTCGCCTTAGTTCTAGATAGTAAGTTGTGGCGGTGACTTCATTGAATGATGAAAAGGCTTACTCGGCATTTGACCAGTCAAGGCCTGCGGGGCAGAGCAACGCACCGGTCACTTCATGATTGAAACCGTGGTCAGATTTGACATTTCGCGAGAGGGGCGGTATGAGTGGCTGTCCTCTGGGCATAAGCCATTCGAGGACAGCAGATTTGAGGGTCTTCGTGTCGTCACCTCGCGCACTGGAGGCTCCTTTGCCAATCTACAAGAAGGTGACTACGAATAGACCTTTAATCATCTAAGACTTACCAGTTCTCCGACATGGATAACATCCTCCTCCTCGCCGATTGTGAGACGTTCTAGAAGACTAGGATAGGAGTCTACAAGCTCCACAAATACCCTATGTTCGCGTCAAACGCTAAAGTTAAAAGTACTGTCAGACACCGCTAACGCTCAATTGACGCGATTCTACTCACTCGGCTGGATAATCTTCTATTGAAGAATCCTGCAATTCTTCGAGTCGAAGAATGCCTCCAGTCAGGAGAGAAGGATAATTGCATAGTGCAAATACCATCCGACCAAAGTGTCGCCCATGGAGAACGAGGGGGTTTGATGAGGCACTGATGAAGGCACATAAGGATGGGTGCGTTTCAGGACGTGAAACCTTCCTTACGCTTTTTTACGTGGGCCCATGTGAAGTGCCGAACCACTACGTTTGCGCGAAGAATCGCCAGAATGGGGATTATTTTCGTCACCACTCATAGTAAGGTGAAGGAGCAGACGATTTTCATATCAGTAGTACATGAGACTTTATACGTTCGAGCACGCCATCAGTTTCGAAACGGGAACGAATCTCGGCACACTATGCCATAGATATTATGGATGGCGCATTATCCGAGCGCCATCCGAGCCGCACGCATCAGGATCGGGACGGGAATCAACCTTGATGGCGCGTTATGTTACCTGCCAGTGTATATATATATAAACTGCCGAAACTGTTGCAGTAATAGTCAACATCATATCATGCACAATAATAGCACACCGGTGAGACCTCGTACCTCTCAGAAGCGTTTGCGACAATGTATTCTCGTTTAAAGTAATGTCACACTAGGGTAAGTTTCTTCGACGTGGCATGCAGTGCAAAACTCATAGGGTTCACCTGAAGCTTCCAACTTCCCTCCATCCACACATCAGTCGGCACTGAGTGCAAGTGAGTGATACTGTTACATAAACACTCAGAACAAGACTCACAGTACAGGCAATTCCATCTGACAATGAATTGAATCATAGAGCAACGCAAACTACAGGTGAGATTTCAGAGTTAGATTTGGACGTCGGTCTAACAAAAGACCCACCTAGGAAATTTTATAAACAAAACGGGATCTGAACTGGATGAACTGGATGAACTTGAGGAACAGTTAAGGAACGCGGAAGAAAGTATTGTGTACCTTACAGATAGGGTGATGGAATACAGGTATAGATGGCTGGAGGAGTACTACCGTGCCGAAAACCTCGAGCGTCACATGCCTAGTGACATTCACATACCAGACCTTGCACAGATTCCCCTGGGTACCCTTTCTCCCGCATTCTCTGCAGAATTCTTGACCTGAGAGAGTATGTGAGGGCTCCAAACGGGGAGAAGAGCGAGATAGGGTCTCTGAAAAAACAGATGCAGGTGCCCGTGCGAGGGCGTATGGTGTGCCGAATAATTAAATTCATAACTACTCAAATACACAATAGTTAGTACTGTGTTACATCATGTGTTCAACGCGCCTGTTCGATAAGACATATCTGCTCGAAAGCAAGAGTAATATAAGTCGTAGGCGAAGTCGTAACCTCAACAGTATTCTTCTTGACATTACACCTTCTGACAGTAAAGATATGACCGCAATATTCTCCATCCAGAACAAAAACCCGTTGGTTTTTTTTGCATGGATGGGCTGGGCTGAGATCTTTGGCAGGGATATGGTAGTGTTGAATGGCGGCGCCTGCATTACTGGATGTGCAGAATACAGCAACACAATTTTCAGGTGCAGGTCCATTCGCACCGCAGAACGGGTCGGGGCATGCTGTTGACACAAATCGTTTGTGTAACCTACCTCCCATAAATCCCACTGAAACTTTCAACACAGCGTGATGAAGAAGGAACGTCGACATATACTCCTTCCCCATTAACCAAGGCAGCGCGACTGTGATAAAATAAAATAAGCAGAAACGTTTGATTCCTCCAGTGTATATTCACCGTTATCTGGGAGTTTCTCCGTTGTGGTATCGATGTCATCTTGAGTATCCTCAGGATTGACGATCCAGGGGTCAAATTTCGACGTGCCGGGAGTGACACTCAATGGGGGGTGATCCGCAATATCTTCCAGGCTAGAGCTCCAGGAGGTCCATGGCAACAGGTTACTAGCTGACGAGCTAGATGGAAGTCGGACAGCTGGTGGAGTAATGCTTCGCTGTGGCGTTGTTGTCATGTACAATCTTCTCCGGGTTTCGCAGAAGGCAATCATCTCCGGTCCCTCCAGTATAGTGCCATTTAGTCTCATTCCATAGCTAATAACAATTAACAACTTAGTTGCCACGAAATTCTGTGCGGCGCTCACCTGGTGACAACGTCCTGGCGTCTGATGAAGGTACAACAATTCAGAGAGTGAGTCTGAACAATGTTGGGTCTTGCAGAACCTAGCTGCTATTCGACCCTAAAGGGTTTCTGGACCAGGCTCAAGGCTCAGAGGAGAGGAATTATCATGAAAACTTGCTGAGTACTCTGACTCCTACTGGTAACTGGTGAAAAGATAACTTGCTTATGTAAGCTACAAAAGTGCCAACATAAGGTAAGGTAAAAACAGTCTCTACAAGCCCAGCCAGAAATGAATCCCTACAGCGATATTGTACAGTGTCGCTCGGTAACCTTTCTGGTCGCCCCCAACAATGAACACTTCTTGACGAATAACCTTATTAAGTGAATCTAAGTCCACATTGCGGTTTTTTGTTACAAATGTGATTGGGACTTGAACCTGTGATAGGTCAGCCATGCTCGAGTCCAGGTAATTGAGACTTATGAGGGAGTGATCACTGTCAGATAGAAGGGTCAAGCGCGCGTTTGGAAAGTTGACGCTTTGTACAACCCCTTTCCTCTGATACTCTGGCCCGCGGGCAACACTCACCACGTCTCCAGGCCTTATATCATACCCCCTTTCCTTGGTAAATTTTATCGTATTTGAGAGTTTGGTTCGCTGAACGATTGTCATGGGAACATAAATTCTTGATGGTACAACACTAGACTCGACGTCATCCCCGGCCAAGATAACATTCGCATCCCGGAACCACAACATGGTTCCCCCCACTGGAATCCACTCCACGATGCCGCATTTCTTCAAGTGCTCGCCGGCAAGCACTTCAATGTAGTCTCCAACTTGTAGAGATTCGGGCTCAGGGGGAGGCTCAAAGTGTTGCAGCGAGGGTAGCCGTGGTTGAAGCGTGTAATGCAAGGGGCGACGGTCCAAGTAGTACCTCGAAACGAGTACCTATGCAAAACGTGAGATCGGTTTGATTTTAAGTTAGAAAAAAAACAAAAACTTACCTCTTCTTTGGAAACATCCTGGCAAATGTGAAACATGTCGTCACTGATTTGAATAACATGTCCCTCCAACCCCAGGTATGGTCCTGCAACCACTCGAACTTGATCGCCGACACAAAAGATATGTTCTATATCCTCGAGTCGAACATCGATTTCGTTTCGGTGTCCATCGAAGATCATCTCCAAGCGCACGGAACCTGAAGTGTGATCTGTCAAGACGACTGTACCGACCTTTGAACAAAGTTCCCCTGCGATGACCCTAGCCGAATCCCCTAAACGTAAGAACTGCATTGAAAAGGCAACTAGCGTTTTCTTAACGAAGGGTGTGTCAAACCCGGACTGCATATGCAGTCGAATGTCATCGGCATGAGGAGAGGCGACAAGTTCGAGGCGATCGCAATGAAAATGTTTCAGTAAAAGTCCCATATAATAGTGCTCTCCTTTGTAAGAGCATCCTACAACTTTTCCATCACGGATCAGGTCGCTAACTGTCTGATTATCCGGAAGGCGAAATTGGTCGAATAGAGCTACAGATCCGCCAGGCATGGGATAGGGGAAGCACCGGGGAGGAATTAGAATGGCGATGAGACCATTCGATTGATCCGAATCGAAGACGTAACCTATGTCGCCTTTGTACTGGCCATATTTGATTCTCACCCACGCTGGGTTGGGGAGGTTGGAGCACGAACCATCAACCGCTTCGCGTTCTTCATCTGAGATTCGAAGATATTGTTTGACTGCGAAAGCATGTGAGGTTGGAAGTGATGCTGCGATAGTTCTGGGACTATCTGCTACAACATAAAGCTGCCCTGCTGCCCAAATCGACACCGTAACATGAAATCCTTGGTGACGAAGGTGTTCAGCGATGCAATCTATGCTATTTCCTGGGATGCGATGAGTGATATGTCGCACCAATATATTTCTTTATAATAGGACGTACTGTTAACATGAAGGAGGTACATTCTGCCTTCGATCACACGGGAGGATGGGATAGTGATGCAATGGCGAGCTTGGCGCAATTCTAATGAACTGGGCGCGATTCCTTCAACCCGATCGAAAATGGTGTCGAATCTTGCAGCCAACCGATCCTTGGCTGATGGTCCAAAATCACGTACGACCTTCGGTAACTGCACAGAAAGGTCATCCCGCTCCCCTTCTTCCTCCTTGTCCTCATCCTCGTCGTCTTCATCTGCTTCGCTGATGATGTACGGATTCGACTACATACATTATTTAGCATCATATCGTATCAAAGTCATCAGATATGATGATACACTTACTTTTGGACGTCTACCCGATCGTTGAACACGAATGTTTGACAAGTGACCAACCATCCTCGACTACATTGAGGTTTAGAATCCAAGTCATCAGAAATGATGATACACTTACTTTGGGACGTCTACGCAGTTGTTGAACAGGAGCACTTGACAATAAACCATCTGTCCTTGATGAAAACAAGGGAAGGGGTATGTGACTAGTTTTCAAGGCGCGGAGGTTTGCCAAGGCGATACTGTTATCATCATCACCAGAGAATAACGCATCTCTGGCATCCTTCCAGTCGTCCACAACGTATCGGTTGCCAAGGTACGCAGAAAACGTCTCTTCCATCTGAGGGTATGTCATATCAGTGGTGAGATACTGCTCAAGAATTTCCCATGCGGCTGGATCTGCCAATGGCGACGGCTGACAATTTCCTGTCATATAAACAGGTTCGTGAGTAGCGATGTCGACAATATCTCATCATGACTCACCGTCATCGATCCGGACGCGTTTTGGGACACGTTCACCATCCTTGAATGCTGCGCGTTTGAACATTCTGTCTAAAATGTGTCAATCCTTAAATCACATAAATGAATCCAACGCCTCACATACTATGTGCGATAATGTACTCAATTATGTAGGTTCAAGGTAGTTGTAGTGGAAAGAAGTTTGGAAACGCGCATTCTCAGTATTTGAAGTGAACGACTAATCCGGCTTAGTAAATGTGGAGTCGCAAAGTCCCATCCACCTGCTATAGTACTAACTACAGTACTGGCAAGTCATTGATTTGTACTTTTGAAGTGTAGTATTATTATTACTATCAGTGTACTCGCGCAACGACAAATTATACTATGAACATTGGTGACATCATGGGATATATTCAATCAAGGAGTACGACTAACATTTCTGTGCCAAATAGATTTGTATGTACTGTCGGGAGGTTGTGTTAGTGTCGGAAAAAAGTATGATATGACAAGCGCGGGTTAATATACGGAACGACGATCAGTTCAAACTCAGCCGGCAATACCCGATATCTGCGTGACTCACCAGAATCAGTCTTCATGTGTCCCTCACCTGAGTGACACCTGTTCCCACACTTGTTAGTAATGTATATAGTATAACATGTTTGTTACTAATGAGGGGGGTAAACCTATGCTGCAGTACTCAGCAGTGACTTCAGGAATATCAAGAGGTGGGTAAATTAGGATACAATATAAACAGGCTATTGATTTGTCATCTCCCCGGACCACCTGTCCCTGTGGTATTAATGTATCACTGCCTATAGTTATAGTAGAACCCTGATACATTAATCACTACAAGTCATAGGGTGGGCTGATACATTGTTTTACTACAGATTATAGTCCCTAGTACCCTTCCCTATACCGTCCTGGAGATGCTCTAGATGTTCTCCCTTGTGCTATATGTTCAAGATCTGTTCCTGGAATCGGGTATCGCAGATCCGATCTGACTTATTAAGCTGATGCCAACTGATTATGAAGAATGCGATCTGGATTATTCAGTGCCTGGACATGTTACGCTATAATACAGCTATGTAGCGCGGACACGTTACACTATAAAGTTCATAATACAGCTATGTAGCGTAGAGGTTCGTCATGCGGTGGTCAATTGAAGGCGAGTCCTTGTGGGTAAGAGAAGGCGCGTCCTCGGGGGTAAGAGCCTGAGTGGAAGCCACGAGTTGAGGCACGGTGTTCCACAATGCTTGGAATGAGGAGTGCATTGCAGAACGTAGTGCAGCTTGACGATACACATAAGCCTGAAGCCCCTCCTGGTCGGAGGGCTTCTCCAGTATGCGTAGATTTGTGCGCTCACTCCACCAGCGGGCCTGCAGAAAGACCAGTACATGTCTCATTTCTTTGACAAGTAGTTGCACTTCCTCGGACCATTGTGCAGCACGTGTGCGAGCCTTACACCATTCGATGCGAACACCTATAACTGGAATCAGTTATTTGTCATTCTCAGCGAGCCAGAGACATACAATCTTGAACCCGGTCATTTTCAGAGCGACTGGTGTCGACATCTGTAGCAAGCCAGATCCACGAGATCATTCCAGTTCCCTGAGTATGTCCGCCCATGAAATCACCCATCGGTCTCACATCCTCGTTTCTAAGAGGCCGCAAAGTCTCTCCCCAGCCCACCTTATCCAAGCGACCACTCAGTGACTCCAATGCTCGACGCGCACACCTGTATTTATCGACTCCTGCATCTTTCTTCGCTTCAACACGGGCAATTAAATTCTGAGCGCGAGTGGATGCTGCTTGACCACGTAGATTCTTGTCCTTGAATTTGTACATATGTGAGCGCAGACAAAGGTGAGAATGAATTTCGTTAAGGGCATCATGAGCCTGCGCATGCCGTAGTTCCCATTCATGCTCCAGCAACCGCTGGTCACAATGTAAAGGGGCGTCAATGGCAGATGGAAGATATAGAGGACAGTGTTGGGGCTTTAGAACAGCTTCGGTAGTGCTGGCATTAGAGTCAGCTGACGAACGTAGCGCTGAAACAATGGGCATGTAGAGTTCTTGGATCCTTATCCACAAGTCGATCCATCTCTGTAGCGCGTTAGTCCTGTTGGTAATCGTCTCTCGTTGCTTGTCCGTAGGATGAAGGGAGACATTGGTGATGTCGTGTTTCAACCTCTGTCTGCTGTAACATCAGAACCAAGAAAATAAAGATAAAGGAAAAAATTAACGCACTGCTGATCTTCTAGTTCAATGCTGCTACTTATGAGTATGCTGGGCGAGACGTCCATGTGAAGAGATGAATCAACCCCAGCTCGCAATTCTTGTGCTTCTAACTCCACAAGCTGAGCCCGCACTGCAGTCTGTGTAATAGCTAAGAGTGGTCAGCCAAAGCTGCGGAGGGGGCAAGTGATGACTCACGAGCAACCCTGCTTTCGAAAGGGTTTGGTTTGGTGTCGTCCTCCTCCCATGCCTCGATTTCTAGCCTCCACTCATCAAGTAACACAGCCTGAATGGTTCCCTCCAGCTCGCATAAGGCATCACAGTGTTCCCTCTTCCACTTCACTGCGTCCTCCATCTTGTGCTTCAAGGTCCGACCTTCACAATGCTAGTAAGGAACTTCGAATAATGTCAGAGTAAAAAAAAACTCACCGAACATCGTCACCTTCTTCCAATTCCAGTCACTGAAATGGTCGTCCAGCGTATCACGTCGGCTCCCTGGTCCCATTTCTTTTGTACTAGATGCCACGCGATTGATATTTGCCCACCCCCGTTCTGGTGCCTCTCCGTCTGTCCTGCCTACGAACTTGGTTAAATTCCACGAGAATGTGGTCTGGCAAGCAGCAATGTGAGCTCTGATGTGAAACTTGGGAACGAAATATCAGATTAGCATCGTATCGTGCACTATATGCAGGCGAGTTGGCATGGAGTCCATCCTAGTCCATAGTTTCTTCGACCACTGACATGCAATATCATACGAAATGTTGAGCATTGCGACCGTAAACCCAACCAGGGCTGAGAACACTAAGTAGTCCATATTGAGGTACCTTGAACACATCATCAATTTATTCATCAACTAAAATGAATATAAACGTACTTTTCACCCTTTTGAAGGTCTCCTACCCCAGTTGGTAACTTGAATTCATGGCGTGCACAGTCAACAGTACCTACACCAGTCGCTGCAAGGCCACACGATGACTTTGTGTCTGCCATATTGACTGCATTGTGGCTAACACATGTGCTGCGCTGAAAAACCATCAAGTCAGACACCATCGAACAGATACAAATGTCTACATACCTCTTGTCTCTCGCCTGCCCGTGCGGATAGATATTCCTTGTATGTGGTTTCTTCCACAAAATAAGCCCATCCAGCATTCAAACCTGGATCCACTTTGTCCGAAGAGACTGCTTTTCATTTGAGACGAAAATTCACATCAATTGCGATAAAGAGTGCATACAGCCACCTGCAGTGAAAGATCAGTGCATCTCCCTCCCAAAGGCTAAACAAGATACTTGCCGCATCGATGGAGGTGCAGTCTCCCATCCATTAGGTAGGTTCTTCCCTGGATGTGGGCATGCAGGACAGAGTACAGCAAGTTCCCCGCTGTCAGTCCCATTGGTGCCAGTAGGATGATGACCTCTACCACTGCATCTGAGCTGTCGTAGGTGCCGCCATTCACGGACCATGCACATGAAAGCAGAATAGCGATCCTGCATACTATCAGTAAAGATCTCCGACAAATAGTTAAAACTTACTTTGATAAGAGAAAGTCCAGTGTTGTCGGTGCGTCTAGCTAAGCTGTGATAGAACTCGTAGGCCGAAACCTTGGATTCAAAGGAAAGGAGGTGATACTGCTCAAGGACACTAAATGTAGCTGCTGTCCGTGGTTCAGTTGTGGTTGCAGGGTACCAGCGTGCTCGTAGCAGCTGCTTGAAGCGAATTTGTGCAGTCTCACAACCACAGAAATCCAATGTAATCTCATGGATACTGTGGACATCGATCACGACAAAGGTGTCGCCAGATGAAGGACGTGGATTGTGGCACTGATGACCGGGATTATGACCCAGCTGGATCCGCATACCCAGGGACTTGAGGGTCATACAGCAAAAAAAGCCACTAGTCCACTCCTACATTCAGACCAGATGAGGGACACTTCGCCAGCACAAAATCAAGCATACCTTGATTCTATGCAATGGCAGGCATTGGTGGCGTTGGAGAATACAAGCCTGACAGAACATTTCCGGCCCAAAACAATCCTTGCATCGGTATGTCTTATCAGAATCGCCGCAGCGACAGAGTGAACATGAAGCTTCATTTCCACGGCCTTCTAAAAAAATGGTTTCGTCAAGAAAAATCTGGTGTTCGGGTATCCAAGTAAGGAGAGGGTTGTCCTATGTGATTAATGATTAAATCAAATTATTGAATTTTGAAAATACCACTTACTGCTGCAGTCTGTCTGCGCTTCACAGGCTGAAGGTCACAGATGTCTGCATTAATATCTGCAACGACGTCATCAAAGAAGTCATAAGCTGGGCACTGAGTCTGAGTCTGTGGTGGTGGTGAAGAAGGCCACTCATTCATCTCCTCCAGGGAAACCTCAGATAGTGGGATGTAAGCTGTCTGTAATGTGGTGTGCCCACCACTCATGAGTCCGTATTCTCGTACACGTTGTTGTGAAGGTATATGTGAGGGCTGCTGGCCTTGGACGAAGGGCTCGACATGCGCCCGCTGCCTTTTGCTAGGTTGCACCATGTCAAGTGCACAAGAGCGCTTGTCATGAGAATGAGTACAATGCGGATCATGCGGATCCCTCTGAAAATACATACATAAGCCATCTGAAGGCCAGATTCTGATTAACGACCTACACCAACCATACTTGTATCTACAATATTCATCTCACCCGCACGGTGCGTACAAGCTTGTTCCACCGTCAACATCATTGCTAACATAATGCGCTGTGGCCAGATGGAAGAACTCAAGGCCAAGATGGAAGAGCTCAAGGCCAAATGGATGGAAGAACGCTGGGCCAAGGCCGAACTCCTGCATGAAAAAATTCCTGAGTACAGGAAGCTTAAGCCAGGTTTCGCCGAAACGGACCTATTCATTGATGAAGTACTCGAGGAGTATGACAAGATATGGCCGCTGTGGGAGTACCTCTGGCCCGATTTTGATGTAGAAAAGGATGTCCCGATTACATTTGCGATGGGCATGGAACTACGCAAAGCACTCGCCAGACGTTGTGTGGCGAGTCCAATAGCTTCTGAAGCTAACTTGTTGCTGATATCCGACGCTAGCAAATCAAATGCTTTTTGTTGTGGGAAACACAACGGATTGTGAAGAAGGAATTCCACCACACTGGTGTAAGGCCTGCAGACTATTGGACCTACTGGGGAGTGGGATGTGCATCAGATTGGACTTACTGGGGGGCGTAATACTGAGTACTTACCTGCAATTGGAACAATGTCAGGCATTTGTCAGGCATACGAACGAAGACGGTGTTGGCAAATCAGTGTAAGAAGGCAAGAGTTTGGTTTACATTTGTTGTATTCAAGAATGCGCCCGTTCAGGCAAGAGCTTTGTTTGTGTTTGTTGTATTGGAGAATGCACCTGTCCAGCGCTCAGCACCCAACAATGACTAACCCCGCATTCAAGATTCAAGATTCTCCAGGCCGCGGATAGGTCTTTAGCTGGATGGATAAAAGGCGAGTGTCTTGATACATGTATTCATACCTCATAACTTTGTTCACGCAAGTATTACTTTAAAGAGTCAACCATGTCCTCAGTTCGCGCGGAGATTTCCACTGGAACCAAGGACACGTTAGGTGCGTCCTATGTCTACATTCATGTTGTAGTACTGACCAAATTCAATGATACTAGAGGCTCTCATGGTCTTGTTGTCAACGCTTCAGCTCTCTTCCGCCGACTGTGCCAATCTGGCCTCAAACCTTCTCTCTGAAAACCCTGATGAAGGTGGTGCTTCACATGCCATAGATTCACAGAAATCTGCCACCAAAGGGTGCTTGCCCACCACCAAAGGGAGCTTGTCCACCACCGAAGGGAGCTCGCCCATCGTCGCTACCACTGTGCTTACTGGGATGATCACTGTGGCAGTAGATGCAGTGGACGGCTATGCTGAAGTGGATGCGGCTGTTGCTGCAGGTAGTATTCTTAACGTGCACATGGGCATGTACTTTAATGTCCCCATGGACGATAAACCTGGGGTGACCATCTACTATATCACAAGGGGCCGAAAGATTGGGGTGTTCTACGGGTGGTATGCTTGTCGATCCCCCTCCGATGATGAGTTTGACTTACTAATTTACCACTGACAGGAACAATGTTGGTCCATGGGTCCAGGGTGTCAGTCGCGCTCTCTTCACGAAGGTGGACTCCGTGGACGACGGGATTGATATTGTCAAGTCCACGATTGAGGCTGGTGTTGCTGCGAGGGTATGATGTATTGTCTCACGTGTATCTAGTGTAGCAACTATGAACCAAAGTTTGTTCGAGTTTCACAATCTTGATATGATCTAAGACTACAGTGCCTTTCATTGCCAGACAAGCTTCTCCTCGTAGAGAGCTTCATCAAGTACCTCTTGCCCTTGGTCCATTAAAAAAATGATCTGTTCTTCGGCCGCAAGCCACAGCTGTGTCCGGGAAAGAAGTTGAGCACACTCAGTTTGGACTTGATCTGAGTAAGGACCCTCAAGATTGGCGACGGAGCGCACAAGTACCTCAACATCCCTGACCAGGTCCCATGCTTCCAACAATTCCTTCTCACAAACAGGTCTGACTAGATCCCACCCCTGGACATCGACGTCCTGGAGTACTGCGATAACATGGTCCTGACATCCCGTGTTAGTGCGGCTGCCTGTGTATGTACTAGCCCACAACAAATCTAGACTCTCAAAGGCATTTAGTGTAGCCTGTAGAGTAATTTAGTAATTGAGCATGAGCACGCGCAAGCAGTGAGCATATAAATGCACCTCATTAGCGCCCCGTTTCTTTCGCCATCTCCGTCGAGACTTCATATGCTCTGTTCCTACATGACTGGCTTATGTTAGTGCACAAGAGTATTGTTGGGAACAGCTTAGAGGTACTCACCGAAAATAGTGCCGGTCTTTTGATTCTTTGCGTGCTTTCTGACGCTCTAACGATGACTTGCGTTTGCGTCCCATACTAAGAGCAAGACTAAATTAGAGCAACTTTGGGACAGTTATTTGTCAATGGTCTATGCTTATGATTTAGAGCAACTTCGGGACAGTTATTTGTCAACGGTTTATACTTATGATACCATGCTCATTACTGTGCCGGTATGGACTGACAAGAGCGCAGCACCACTCAAGAATTGCTGAACAACTGCGAAATGACTATGGCTTATCTGCCAAACATTACCATGCCGGTATGGACTCACAAGAGTGCAGCACCACTCAAGAAGAATGGCAAAGTGGTAGCTGCAAGATAATTGTAGTAATGGTATGGTACTCACATCTGGATCTAGGAAAATGTGAGAACATCGGAGGAAAATCGGATAGGATCAACGCGAATCTATCGAACCCTGAAGGCTTGACACAGAAGCAACACAGTTCGAAGTGAAATAGAACTTACTGACCGATGGCAAAAAATTCAGCGTTTGTCCAACATTTTTGCGTAGTATACCAACATATCCCAGTGCTCCCTATAGCTATAGCCTAGACCTATCTGCAGAATCCAATGGCACCGCGCAGCAAATATTCTCCTGAGCAGATTGCATTCATGCAAACTTACCACGAGAAATTCCTTCAGTGTAAAGCAAACAAGAACTACGAGCCGTTCTGGTCTCCGTTCTTCGAGGAATGGTCCAAGGTGTTCCCAGAATGACTTCAAGTCTTCAAGGATATTCCCCTTGATGAGGCGTTGTCCGAGGAGCAACTGGTAGCTGTAGCAGAATCCTGGACGCTGCGTCAACAGGTGCGTTCATTAATATTGTTTGTTACCTCATCGGACAATTAAAGACTTACCTTACCGTCACAAGCGCTTGGCGGAGAAATTCCGTAATGACTTAGGTGGTTCGAAGGCTGGTTGAGTCGCAAACTCCATGCACACTGTGACTATGAACAAGATGCTGGGCCACATCATGAAGAAAGGTTCTGCCGAAAAGAACTATCGTGTCTTGAAGCCATGGGAGATGTACTCGAAGATTCACTACCACGACAAGGTCAAGGATGCTGTCATAGCCAAACAGGGTTCATCTTCTAAGCCAACTAAGGAATCCGCCATCCATGTCATCACGCAACAGACCAAGAAAGCGTTTGAGGAAGAATCAGAGGAAGTTAGAGAAAAGGTCTTTGCAGCCGTGGAGGCAATGAAAGAGAAGAAGCGTGCTGAGATACAGGAGGCAAGGGAGCAGAACAAGTCTGATGTGAACAAGGAGGCGTAAGTTGCAGTCTTCTTGTGTGCACTGCTGAGGCCTTCAAGTTGCTGACTCCGGATCGCACAGTTACATATCCAAAATCGCATCAATTCTGACTCAGTTCTTCGAAGAGCTGCATGAGATGACGGATTGGGTGTTCACAGTCCTGATGGGCGGTCCAGACCCTGCTATGGGAGGTGCTCTAGACATTAGCAGCTTCCATGTCGGTGCAACAAAAAACAACAATCGGTTCAGCCAGACGTACCCTGACTTTACACAGAAAGTTATGGTCCCTTATACACAGTTTGTAGAGTGTGTGTTTCGTGAGTTGTTTTAAGTTAGTTCTTGTGGTCTAAGATTCTAATGATTGATTTCACTAGCTGAAGCAGCAACACTCACCAGGGCAAAATGCTCACTACCGTCCGGCACGTCAGCATTACCTGCGCACGTGTCCTCCTGCCAAAATGATGACGCTCTGGGAGGTATCGCTACTGATATATCACCTGTCTTTTCCGGGCCCGCATTACCTGCACATGCGCTCAATACTTTCACCTTCAACAACCAAAATGATTACCATTCGGCCGCTGCATCTCAGATTCACGATCACTCAGACGTCAACTTCTTCTCTGACTTCCCCCAAAAACCAGTTGACACGGCCAAGGATATGGAGTTAACGCAACCATTAGTATTGCTCCCTGCGCCTCCTCGGTCTCCTAATACAGCATATCCTTCGCCTTCTTTGATCCAACTTCTTCTTGCCGACTCAACTTTGCAACCGTTGATTGAGCAAGACCCTCCATTGAACTATGGTCTGTCATCACCCCCTCGAATCCGCCATCAATTCCATAACTTGGGTGGTTTGGAGACAACCACCGACCGCGAGTATGTCTTCGACCACATAGATGGTCCTCCAGCGTCAGTTTCTGTCCCTGAACAGACTGCGTCGCTTCCCCCGCTTCCTCCGGTTCCTTCGGCATCAGCTTCTTTTCTCACACAGTCTACGCTGCTTCCTGCTCCTCCCCCAGTGACAAGTTCTCCAAAACAAGATCCTCCGGTTCCTTCGGCATCAGCTTCTTTTTCCACACAGTCTACGCTGCTTCCCGCTCCTCCCCCAGTGATGAGTCCTCCAGAACAAGAGGGCGGGCCATCGAAACGTCGAAAAACGATTCACCCTGCTGCCAAGGGAGACGCCAGACCACCTGTTGACAATAGTCCAGTGGTCGAGGAAGGTCGAGGGAAGCGCCAGCGGTTCCAATCCAAACGTGCTGCAGCAGCCAACGACTTCGGCCAAATCCGTGCTTCACGCAAGGGCAAGTCTGCACGCCAGTAAGTGATCTGTGGGTTGGGTTCATTAGAATGGACCTACTACTTTGTTTCCCTGCCAATGTTGCATGTACACACTTGACTCGCACAACATGTAACACGACGGGTTCATTATATTATCATCTTGTAAATAAATTGATATTCATCAAACGTGTTGAATCAATCTACGCTTAGGAATGGTCTCATGTTTAGGGCATAGAGTCCCCCAGCTCCATGCTCAAGGGGTCTGGGTCACATTTATATTTGAGTCAAAGTTGCGAATTACATGTACAGACAGTTACAGTCAAGGACTTCGAAATAGAGGCTATCATTGAGACTCGTATTGAGAGCCTGTGGATGTGCCGGATAGTACTCTTACATAGAAACAATGAACCCTAAGTATAATGGTCCACATGGACCCTTGAATGGCATCCGGTTCGACTCATAGTACCTGATGAATTGCGACTCACTAGGTTGAAGTCCGAGTCGTGCATGTCGTTGATGGATGAATTTGAACGTGCGAGGATAGGTTGAAGTCCAAGTCGTGCGTGTCGTTGATGGATGAACTTGAAAGCTCTGATGTGAAACTTGGGAATGAAATATCGGATTAGCATCGTATCATGTGCTATATGCAGGCAAGTTGGCATGGAGTCCATCCTAGTCCATAGTTTCTTCGACCTTAGGTACCTTGAATGCATCATCAATTTATTCATCAACTAAAATGAACATAAACATACTTTTCACCCTTTTGAAGGTCTCCTACCCCAGTCGATAACTTGAATTCATGGTGTGCACAGTCAACAGTACCTACACCAGTCACTGAGAATTAAATAAAACTTACACAGTGTAATCAGATGATAACTCACTGAAAATCTTCAGGCGCATTGATGTCCGTCACCCTGTCATCGAAGACGGGAATTAAAATCCAGAGGGCCATTCAGACCTGGAGGGATTTGAACACCATTTAGTAAAGAATGAAATAAAAACTTACACAGCGTAATCAGATGATAATATAGGTGATTAGTACACCAGTGAAGAATTAAGTTTCCAGCAGTCAGTTGGTTGGAGACTGAGTTGACTGTCGCACTCGGCGTTGATGTGTTGACACACACAGTGACAAGTGACAGCGTCGGAACCATCCGAGACTGTACAGTTAGATTACTAATTGAATTCAGCACCCAACAAGGTAGCAGTCTCGGAACTGTCCGAGACTGTACAGTTAGATTACTAATTGAATTCGGCACCCAACAAGGTAGCAGTCACGGAACTGTCCGAGACTGTACAGTTGGATGACTAATCAAAACCGCGGCACGGTAACAGTGTCGGAACTGTCCGAGACTGTACAGTTAGATTACTCATCAAAGGCACAACAGTATCAGCATTGGAACTGTCTGAGACATACAGTGGGATTACTAATCGAAGGCACCAACAGAAAGAAGCATTGATGGTGAAAAGAAGGCAGGGACCAGGTCCAGGGAACTGATCCGGCCAAAAAGTGGCATCTTCATATGATCCTCACTGATATATCAGCCCTATAGATTATAGGTGCTGATGGATTCTCCACTGATATATCAACCCTATAGATTATAGGTTGTAGTAATTAATGTATTACTGTTTTACTATAACTTATAGGTATTTGATGTATCATTATCACAGTATGTCCTGCCCGGACATCTCCCCAGCGGCAGGTACAACACTGCCACTACGCCTTCTGATGGTTCCCATGCCTCTCTCTTTCACCCTCCACATCATCCTCGATGACGTGCTCACTATCCCACTCATTCCTGGTCCAATTCCGGCCGTTCTTTTTGTTTTCGGGCCCCTGGTGGACATCTGATAGCTCTTTCGACATCCTTCACATTCTGCGGCTCTCTTTTCCTTCTCATTGCCCTGGATAATCTCTTGCCAGGAGCTACAAGGTATGTTGCCGTCCCTACACCTTCTGATGCCTCTGACGCCTCTCTCCTTCACTCTCCATGTCGTTCTCAACGACGTGCTCACTATCCTACTTGTTTACAGTCCAAATCTCTGCCTTCCTTCAATGCTCATTCTCTCAATGGATATCTGATGTCATTTTTGAGATCCTCTATGGTCTCACGCAGGTCCTTTTGGTCTACGCCATCATTACTCTAACCTTGTGTTGATCGGTCTTTGCCGCCGCTTGCTTTTACTCTTCATGTGACATATCCTTGCCTAGGTTCCACACTACCACCATCATGGTCCCCCCGAGAAAATGGATGTCAACATCTTCGAGGGTCACCATGACTCTTCTCAGTAGTTCTATGGATCTTCGTACTACCAGATCATCACTCTCTCAAATATGAGACTCGCGGCTTCGTAGGGAGCAAGAACAGCACCAGATTCAAGGTATGACACTTATTCTCACGTTGGTCTCTTGCTCACTATCATCAGACAATTCTCGATGTATGCAGGAGCTGCTTGCTGAAGCCCAGTTGGAGGCTGGGCATGATTACTTGGAGACCATGGACTTTGGAGACGAGATTGACGATGGCAGAGATGAGTTTGCTGAGGACAAGCCTGTGGGTGGCCCCCTTCTGTCTAAATTTTTCAAGACATGCTCTCAAGAATGGTACATATTTTTTCCCCCTCTACATGGTATCTAATGTTTATTTCTAGGGAGCCTCGTGTACGCAGGCGCATTGATGTGCGGACCCAAACACAATGTCGCCAGCATGCCAATGCTGTTTGGAAGGAGCAGATGCCCATCCTTGTCAATGGTTACTTGGCATGGAGACATAGAGTGCCAACCATTGATGACAATACCATTGTGTCTAATATATTCCATGTTGATGCTGTTGGAATTTCCGGTAAGGTTTCATTCCCCCAATACATGTCCCCTACTTATGCTCAATCACACATTAAAAGGTTTTGCACGTGCTATCACCATTCAACAGCGTCCTAATGAACCAGCGAATGCAGCTCTCCTCCGCATAGGACTTTTGGGGTGCTCCCCACTACAACTGACTATCGCTATTCGCATCGAGTGCCTCGAACTCTATCACCAAATACAACGATGTCAGTCCTCATTTGGTATCCAAGCAATTACAAAGGTTTTGTGCACACTTCATAATGTAAGAGTTGTAGGGTGTTATGTTATGATGTCGTACTCACTTACTATACAGATTACATATTTTCGACAGCTTTGCGATCAATTTTCTGATGCATTTGATATCTATCTGCAAATCTTGCAGGAAATTCGGGGTCGCATTGACTGGATCTTGGGCAAAGATCCCAATACCTGGCAGATCAATGGTACTTGTCCTTCCTGCACATTCAAGGTAACACTCCATTCTTAAATATGTAGATATGATTACATGAATTTTACAGCAACCTAATGAGTCAATCCTGTCACCAGCTTGGCTTTACGCGATGGATGGCAATTTCTCTGCAAAGCGATTGGAAAGCTCAGGATCAGCTGATCCGCGACTATCTCAGAGCCGATATTTTATTTCTGAGGCCAAGGTAGACCAATTCAAGGATGATGTTCAACGTCGAACTACCTCCACGGTAGACTCAACAATATCGAGTGCTTGCACAGAGAACTGGACTGCAGCCAAAGCTGTGGATGACAATAAAATTACTGTGTTTGACCAGACTGGGATTTTTCTTTTAGCATGTCGTCATGGGCTCATTGAGTGTGTAGCTGAGATGAAGTGTGGTGGTGAACTGTATGTGTTTTAACTCTCATTTGTACTATGCTAATCGTTCACAAACAGTGCAAAATATGGTCTCGCCACAGTCAATAGACTGCTTGATGTCTGTGGCGTGGATCAGGCTATCGGACACGACATTGCATGCTCATCTTGCAAAACAATTGCAACAAGCTCTATCGGAGCCAAGGCAGCTGAACTAAATCACAGGTTGTTGTAAATGCCTTCCACAGCTTTTCTCATGACCGCCGCTGTCAGCTTCAAAATCACCCTTTATATCTCAATGGCCTAGGACTTGAAGACCTCGAGACTTGTGAATGCATCTTCGCTAGTTCAAACAGTGCTGCAGTCTTGATCAGACATGCGTCATACTTCCATTGGATGCAGTTCCTTGACCTCCACTTCGATCAGTGGGACATGGACAGGTACTTTGACCTCGGTATGTCTTTTTGAGCGCCTAACAGCAATGGTTTCTGACAATTCCAGGCACATTTCTGTACAATAACTATGTTCAAGCTCTTCAGATCATCGAGACCAACACACCCATCCTCGAGGAATTCAAGCAGCTCCATAATCTTACAGATGCAGACTTCATAAGCTGGTGCAATGAGGAGCATGATTACCTCAGTGAGGTTGCTACAGAACCTACTTCAGATGCAATCGCAGTGGCTTACGTTGAACAGCTTGAGAAGCTTCAATATGCGGAGTTTGTCTTTGCACCCTGTTTATTTACTTAGTTCTCATCACATGTTTTAGAGCAACGTATGGCCATCTCACTTCTGTACCTTTTCTGATGTACACTCCTGCAAATTTCACTCGCACCTCTGGGCTCAATGCCACTGCTCGCAACAATTCCAGAGCATTCGAATCTGAACATGCATCTGTGCTACACAAATATGAGCTGCAATTGAATGTTGTTGAAGACTTCGAGCATCGTCACAGCATTATGGAGTGGTGGCTACCACATGACCCAAAATATGTGCAAGCAGTTAGATATTCTCAGGAACGTCAATTTATTTGTTCGGTTGAGGAATTGGAGGGCTTAGTTGTTTGGCGTCTTTTTGAGTTATCAAAGGCTAATCTTGCCGGCACTGGTAGGCGCTTACTGGACATTAAAATAAGTGATGTACTCATGGACTACTGCAGGCTACAAGATGCGAAAGTATATCTCAAAGGCCATCACACAATGTTCAGCTGCCATCTGAACGGCTTTGGAGAAGTACAATAGACTTGCACCCTTACAAAATCTACCACGTCCTGTACTCAACTATTCCAAAATTGTCAGATATGCATCTCTTGGTGAATTCTCGGTTCTGAAGCACTCACACCACAATATCCTTACAAAACCATTGACTGTATCTGCTAATCGCAAGATGGCCGCAAAGGATTTCAAATTGGTACAATCACACGAAGAGATTGTACAGCTCAATGTTGAGATCAAACACTTACAGAGTTGGGTTGAGCACGAGGACAGGACCATGTTGGAAGCTATTGATTCACTCCTCGCTGATGACCCAGATTCTTCACTCATAGCTGAGCTGAAGACATTGTATGCCAAGCACCACCGTATCAACAACAACCATCGCAAGTGACTCCAACAAATTTACGCACTCGACAGATACACAGGTGAATGTCTTCCTACAGACCACACGGTCATTGCACCCAATGGAGACAGAGATGACGAGGGTAGCATGAATGGTCCTGAAGATGATGCTATGAACGAGGAGGCCATGAGACTTGAAGATTTAATGTTGCATTCTTTGTAACTTTCGTACTGTTAATTCTATGTCACATTGCTTCGATTATAGATTCCTGTGTCCTACCATCCATATTGGCATTGCAAACTCTGTTATTAAAAACTAAGACTTCAGAAGCAAGTTGAGCTCTGCACTGACCCTTTCTAGCACATTCAATTGAGCCCCGTTTGCAAATCTTAATTGAGCTTGAGCTGGGAGACCAATACTACTCATTATAACTAATTTACATGATAATCCAGACGGTTAGGGACAGGATCCAGCTCAACAGGGAACAAGTGAGGTGACATAGACAACATTGAGTAAAACAACAGCGAAGTGAGCACAGTCAAGAAGTAAGATGAGTCTGTTTGTTTGGTAATCAGTGCGAGGCATTTGATAATAGCAGTGGCCTGGCCTGAGATTATGAAAAGCTAAAGCCAGCGGCTTATGTCACACAGAACTGTGCCTGCAGCGTCACAAACACTACTCACTTGACGACTCACTTGACGACTCACTTGACGACTCACTTGACGACCCCAGAATCCCGCTTCTATCTCATTTTAGATTTTCACTTTCTGTTGTATGAGCTCATGAGTCATGACAGTGAGTTGCAGAGCTTCGTTCTTTCCAAGCTCGACATAATTCACTTTGTTGCTGGTGGATAGATCAATTTCAGTAATTTGCCCTCTTTTACAATTCTCTTGCGACTTGCAACATCATGCCTTCATCCTCAGAACAAAGCTTCAGAGCCAACCTATCTCAGTTCTGCTGGGCCAGAGGAGTCATAGACAACTCCCAACAAACCCAGCAACCACTCTCATCATCAAACCTGTTCTCCCACTTCTACAATGCTGTAGCAGGTAACTATATCCCTCTCAGATCTAGTGAACATTCCAATGGAGATGAAGCATGGTTTGCGCTATCACGTTGGGAAAGGTATGCATTCAAAATTCACTCCTGTCTTCTCAGCACAGAATCCAATCTTCAGGCTGCTCGGGTTCGGTGCATGCTTGTTACTAGGTGCAGCAGTCTGCTTCTTTGTTGCTTTTATGACCCTCCCTTTCCTCACCATCAATCCCGCAAAATTTGCTTTGGCATTTAGGTATGCAGGGTTTCTTTCCTACCACTCCGTGTCAGTTTGAGTGATCATAACCGACTACCATATTCAAGTTTCTCAGTTCTCACAGACGTTGCGCTTTGGTGGACAAATCGCTCTCCGGGGAGCAGGAAGCCTGCTACCTTTCTAAGTAATAGTAATGACAAAAACTGAATCAACACAATTGTATCCTCACACACGATATCTAGATCTAGTGCTTGCTCATTGTTTATTCCAACAACAACAATCAATCTATCATGAGCGCAATGCAATACTTTCAAAAATAACAAACGATGGCAGCAACAAACCATCTACTCCAGAGCTTCATGCAACCCAACCGTATCCCTCAATCTCCATGACATGATCTCGAAAGGCAAGGCTAGTGGACTCAAGAAGTCAGTTCACAAGGTGCATAAAGACGACGATGACGAGATTGTAAATTATTTTCTGAACACTTTTCTCCATTTTCAGTACTTGGGCTGTGGCTCAGGCCAAAGCCGAGCCAAAGCCAGCCGTCACTGGCGGCTTTGGCCCAGCCTGGAATTTTCGAAAGCCCAAGCCATCTGAAGCCAGGCCAAAGCCGCGGCTTTCGAGCCAAGCCGGGCCAGAACATCACTAAATTTTTTCATGTCATAGTCCGCGCTGGAAGGATTCCATCTTCTGTCACTATGGATGGAGATGTTGGCCTGTTCTTCGATGACCACATTTAGGGATCCACACAGGTATGGGTAACCCACATGGGTCCCAGGTACAGGTACCCCTGGGGTATGGGTACAGGTACGACTTAGTGGTACCTGTACCCCAGGCAGGGGTTTTCATCAAAATGTTCAACAAACAAACTTTAAACTTAAATTAGAATGGTATCATGCAACTAGCACCCATCCATCAAACTAACTTGCCATCCAGCCAAAAGTACTATCTCATAATGCGTAATGGTCACCTAGGTCTATGCATTATGCATTATGCAATATGCGGTCAATTAATTGGGAACCATGTTGGGACTCTAGAAAGTTGATGCATTATGAGATAGGGGTTTGAAGGTGGGGATGAGGCCATTGTTGCCACAGTGAAGCGGGAGATGGCAGAGAACTTGGGCGAGGTTATTGAGGTGGATTCCAATGACGAGGAGAGTGCTGAACCAGTAGTTTCTCACACAGAAACACTCTGTGACTGTGTCAGCAACTTGAAGAAGCCTGTCTCCAGTTCAGAAATGGTGACTCCGAAACACTTCCACTTGAGTTTGTAAAGCAAATCCGTCTTTTTAGGGCTCACTTACAACGCGACAAGCTGCTTCATGGGACACAAACTACATTAGATTCTTATTTTTGTTAGGTAGATGCACTGTAACTGTGTCACAATTTGCGCGGAGTCACACCATGTCACAAACAGTCACGAAGTGTGATATATGTCCTAATGCATAAATCTCATAATGCATAACAATTGAGCGGTCCCGACATTATGCATTATGAGATAGTGTACTGTATATCATATATGATATAATACTACCTCACTACTAGTAACTACCCTGCATGCAAAATTTTTGCTCTCAACTTCATCCATCCCTTACCATGTCACAATCCAACTTCTTCACTGCGACAGCGAGACGGGTAAGTAAGATGACAGGCAAAGCAAAGGCTGCTTTGGAAGAGAAGACCATGCAGACCTCATTGAAGAAACATAAACCTGAAGCAAGTGGAGAAACCATTAATCCTCTGCTGAAGGAGGCAAAAACCAACCGACCTGCTGATACCACTCCCCCTGGAATGACAGTGTCGCTGCCATCGACACTACCAATACCAGTAACATCTGTTATACCAACCCCCCCTCTGACTGACAAAAGTCGTTGAGGAAGAAGCTTTGTATGCAGACAGAAGTGATGCTGACCTGAAAGAGAGTGACGATGAATTGCAAAGCAGAGAGAAAGAACAGGATCTACAAGACGAACTAAGTACATTAATAAATCTGTAAATCAACATTAATCTAATGCAACATAATTAGAACATCTCATGTGAGAGTGGGTCTCACCGGTCTATGCCTTCTTTCATCCAACACCAAACATTGTCAAAATTGGAGGACAGCAGGCACATGAATTCAAATGTCAGGTAAAAGGATGTAGGGCGAAAGTCTGACGTTTCCTGGATAAGGGTGATGCATGTTCCACTGGAAACATGCGAAAACATGTTCAAGCATGTTGGGGAGAGGATGTTTTGCAAGCTGCCAACCAGGCCAAAGATGCTAATGAAGTTCACAAAAAAAATTGTCGGCAGCTTCCTGCACAATGGGTCAATTACAGCCTCGTTTGAACGCAAGGGCAAAGGAAAGGTGACTTACTCTCATCGTCAGCACACTAATAGGGCCAAACTTGTCCATTGGGTCTCTGAAAGCCTGCGTCCATTTGGAATCGTCGAAGACAAAGGGTTTCAGTCACTCATGAAGACAGGACAGCCAGAATACTACATACCATCTCCTTCTACTGTCGCTAGGGATGTTTGAATGGTTTTTGCACAGACACGAGAGTGGATAACTAGGATGATCAAGGTAAGCTTTCCCTGAAGTCAAAAACATACAAAATAACATGCACATACCAGGGATACCCAGGAAAAGTCAATTTTACTACTGATGGCTGGACATCACCCAACCACAGAGCATTTGTTGCAGTTTCGGCCCACCTCAAACTCAATGGCGAGCCACTAACATTGCCATTAGATATTATCAAGGTTGCAAAGGTGCATAGTTACTTACAATATATTTATGAATTGTTCAGCTGATTGAATCACAGTCGCACACAGGAGAGGAACTTGCACAAACATTTGCAGACATTCTGGAGGAGTATGGGATATCAGAGAAAGTTAGTCAATTGTTGGGTTGAGGATTGTCACTCACCAGCAGGACGCACATTCAGATACTCAGCATCACATGCAATAACACCTTGAATAACATGGTGATAGTTGAAAAGCTGGCCAGATGCTCCCATCGTTTCCTGGAGCCCCAAACCATACTCAATGTTTCTTGCATACAGTGAACCTCATCGCTAAGTCATTGATAAGGGAATTCAACATGACGAAGAAAGATGCCAATCAGGTGCTTGAGGAGGAAATATCTGAGCCAGAGGATGATTTCAATGAGGTGAGTGCTGAAACTGAAGATGTGATTCCTGAAGAATATGGGGGTGCTGGGGATGACAATAATGATGAGGGATGGGTGGATGAAGTAAGTTTGCTGCTAGAGCGGGAGAGAAATGAGCTGCAGTAAGAGATTCGTCCTGTAAAGTTAGTATTAGTGAAGGTGAGTGAAAAAAGACAATGTGCACCTTTGAAATTGACATGCCAGAATCTAGCTGCGCAAGCTTGCTTACAAACTCATTCACTCAACTACTGTACTCCTCCCCACATGGTACAAAGCACTGTGTGCATCTGGCCAGTCCATTAGCAATATGCCACGGGACGTCGCTATCCGGTGGAATTCAACCTTCGACATGTTGAAATATGCGCTGGACCATCAGGATACAATCAATGTTGTAACACAAAGCCAAGGCTTAGGTTTGCGCAAGTTTGAACTCACTGACGTTGAATGGGAGATAGCACAGCAGCTTTGTGATGTGCCAAAGGTATTTGTTTAGGTTTACATTATAGATTCTCAAAGACGCAACTACATTCTTCTCTCGCTCCATGTCTAACTTGGCCACTGTGATTCCTACCATGGACCTAATCCATGAGACACTCACAAGTTATTCCCGGAACCAGAAATATTGTGCCTCTATTTGTGCGGCTGTGGATCTCACCAAGAAAACTCTGAACCGCTATTACGAGCTTACTGATAAATCTGAAGTATATCGTATATCAATGAATGCATGTTTTCTTTTCACTTTCTTGCTTCCTCCACTAATCATAAAATAGTTTTGCATCCACAGCATAAACTATCATACTTCAAGAACACTGGATGAACAGAGGAGTGGATCAACACTGCCGAAACCCTGGTGCACACACATATTACAGTGACCTATCTCCGTATAATACGAGGGAACGGACATGCATAATATCCCGTATGATACGGGCCAGCGGACCATGGGCCCATGATAAAAATATCCTCGACTATGACGGATGGGCCGGGAGGCAAATTATTCCCGATGGAGGCGGGTGGGCCCATGCAGGGAATATATAGAGTAGATGAGTGGGCCGATGTATATGAATATTAGGTAGACGGGTGGGCCGAGGTAGTTGGATATTATGCAGATGGGTGTATTAAGGTAGATGTGTATGAGATAGATGGGTAGGTACTTGTTATCACATTCACGGGTGGGCCCAGACACATATTAAATTAGACGGGTGGGCTGAGGGTATTATAAAATATTGTATTAGACGGGTAGGCCCAGACGCATATTAATTAGACGGGTGGGCCGAGGGTGTTGTATGGGATGTTGTATTAGATGGGTGGGCCGAGGGTGGTATAAAATATAGATGGGTGGGCCCATGTGTATCATAATTGTAGACATGATGGAGCTGAGGTAGTTGTACATCAACCAAATCAGAGGAGGTAATAAATCAAAGTTACCGAGTTCCCGGAGCAGCAGGTGATCTCCTGACATGGCCTTTGATGGTGCACAGGTTGTCTTGCAGAATTTGGAATCCGGGGTGCAAAGCTTGTGTTGCCCTACGAGACACCAAGTTCCGACCACCCAAATTTGGGTCAACCGTACCGACTTCTGAGTTCCAGGACCCAGGAGTCGACAAATAAATATCTGATAACCAGCACACTTCCAATCAGGTAGTATTTCATTGAGCAATAAATCATCCAAGGGGTCCCTTATCGGACTCGGTAGTCAATATAGGCAAATGATAATGAAAACATGAAAGTTGTTATTATGCTATTTTTCAAACCCGAGACCCTGAAACCCATTGTTCAACATGTCCATTTTTCACTCACTGCACAAATCACCGAGTTTCGAGTGCTGAAACCCAAAACTCAAAACCCGGTGTGCAACACATCGATTGTTCATTTACATTACACAGATCATCGAGTTCCGAGTGTTGAGCGCCGAAACCCGAAAATATGTATGGAACATGTCCATTTCTTACTCATTGCACATATCACCGAGTTTCGAGTGCCGAAACCCGAAACTCGAAACCCAGTGTGCATCATGTCCATTGTTCAATTATATTACACAAATCATCGAGTTCCGAGTTCCGAGGGACGAAATCCAAACCCCGGACCCCGAAAATATGTGCGCAACATGTCCATTTTTCACTCACTGCACAAATCACTGAGTTTCGAGTGCCAAAGCATGAAACTTGAAACCCAGTGTGCAACATGTTGATTTTTCATTTATATCACACAAATAACCAAGTGCCAAGTGCCAAGTGCCGAAACCCGAAGCCCGAGACCCGAAAATATGTATGCAACATTTCCATTTTTCACTTGTTGCACAAATCACTGAGTTTCAAGTGCCGAAACCTGAAACTCAAAACCGGGTGTGCAATATGTTCATTGTTCATTTACATTACACAGATCATCGAGTTCCGAGTGCCGAGGGCCGAAACCCGAAGCCCGAGACCCGAAAATATGTACACAACATGTCCATTTTTCACTCACTGCACAAATCACCGAGTTTCAAGTGCCAAAGCGTGAAACTTGAAACCCAGTGTGCAACATGTTGATTTTTCATTTATATCACACAAATCATCGAGTTCCGAGTGCCGAGGGCCGAGACCCGAACCCCGAACCCCGAAAATATGTATGCAACATGTCCATTTTTCACTTGTTGCACAAATCACCGAGTTTCAAGTGCCAAAACCCAAAACTCAAAACCGGGTGTGCAACATGTCCATTTTTCAATTATATTACACAAGTCATTGAGTTCCGAGGGCCGAGGGCCGAAACCCGAACCCCGAACCCCGAAAATATGTACACAACATGTCCATTTTTCACTCATTGCACAAATCACCGAGTTTTGAGTGCCGAAACCCAAAACTCGAAACCCAGCATGCAACATGTCCATTTTTCATTTACATTACACAGATCATCGAGTTCCGAGTGCCGAGGGCCGAAACCCGAAGCCCTGAAACCCAAAATCATGTACACAACATGTCCATTTTCACTCATTGCATAAATCACCAAGTGTCGAGTGTCGAAACCTGAAACCCGGTACTTCAAATGGACACGAATTGTATTTGTATGTATTATCCATTGGTGTAGGGTTCAAATAACTTGGGAATTGTATTTGTCAGCACTCGGTACTCGGTACTCAGTGATTGGTGGTCAGTGGTCGGTACTCGAGACTCAGTAGTCAATATAGGCAAATGATAATGAAAAATGACAGTTGTAGTCCACGTCAAGGTGAGTGTCTTGGTAGTCTTTCCTTGTCATTCGGCAAAACATCAGCAATAATGAAAAAATGAAAGTTGTTATTATGCTTAACTTCCTTACCGAAGGTTGTAGTCCAAGTCCAGGTGAGTGTAGTGATAGTCTTTTCTTGTCAATTGGTTATCTTGTTACTCATTACGCAGTACTCGGTACATGGTAATTGGTACTCAGTATTTGGTTTTGATACTCGGTACCCGGGAATCAGTAGTCAGCTTAATGAAGGTTGTAGTCCGAGTCTAGGTGAGTTTATTTGTAGTCTTTTCTCGTCCATTGGTTACCATGTGACTGAGATATAAGCTAAAGAAATCCGAAACATCAATAATGACAAATGAAATACATGTGTGCAGTAAGTGAGTCTAAAGATAAAAGAATGAATATTAATAGCGAGACTTGCACATTATGTCGAGATATCCAACATAACAAGCCTGTGATGTGATCAGAGACCTGGAATAACACCCATATACATCCATTATAATAGCTTAAAAGCTTAGAAAGATTCATGAAGGATTGATGTAATGATAGGCAAAATGACATATGTGTGGAGAGTGACAATAGACATCTTTTATACAAAGTCACATTTATATATGATTCAGGCCAAAAATATCATTACAAATATGTAGGATAGATCGTAAACTACCAAGGAACCCATACTGCCTACTGCCCTGAGGGTAGGGGGTGGGTAGAAGGGATATAGTGAAAATATGAGTTGACCCAGCATTAAAGTCCTACCACTGCTCAACTAACCATTTTCGATGCTTTGGGTCTTTGAAGTTTCCCACACTCAATTTCTTACCCATTTCACTTCCTCAGTACTCAATTCTTGGTTGATTTGTCTGTAAATTTATGTCTATGATACTTAAGATATTTGAAATGTACCCCAGGTTTCTGATTATGAAGATTCAATGTTTTGAAGGCATGGGCCCCTTATCAGGCGAAATGGCAAGTATACACACTAGCTCACAAACTCCAGCCTATTGTGAGCTGATCTTGGTCATAAGAAGCAAGAATATAAGCTATGCTCATTATATATTCAAAAGGTTGGATCATGGATGCAAGGGCAAGATACTGAAAATCGTGAAAAAATGTCACAAGTACAATTGTCTATGCTTTGTTCCTGGAAAAGGATCCTGTGTGTCCTGGGCTGGTTATATGATATATCTACTCCAAATATGCTCAGGAATAGACTCCCTACAGTCCTTGAGGTCCAGTCCTACAGGGAAAAAACCCCAGCAGGTGAACCACCAGAAGAGGGGGAGGTACACTATACAATAAAGGATTACCCTATGGTCCTGAGCTCCTGATACATTGTTTCTATTGTTGAATAGATGATTGAGATATAATTTCAAAGTCTATTCACCTAGAAATGAACACATAGGAACATATTTTGTATTTTTATGTATATATGCAATATCCATTTCAAGCACCAAGTCTCAACTACCGATTACCAAGTCCCAACACTTGATAGTTGATAGTCAGTATTCGAGCTCCGAAGTGCCAATATTGCCTACCAATATCTCAGTCAAATGATAACCAAACCAAGACCCAAGTTCCAAACCTGACTACTGAATACCAAGTATCAGTACTCGGGACTCGGGACTATTGGCTGGAGTACCCAACTATTGATTCACAGGTACCGAGAATTAGAACCAAGTACTGAGTACCTGACTACTGATTCTCGGGTATCGAGTATCAGAACCAAATACCGAGTACTGATTCCCTTGTACCGAGTACTGAGTAACGAGATAACCAATTGACAAGAAAAAACTACCAATACACTCACCTTGGCTCGGACTACAACTTTTGTTCAGGAACTTAAACATAATAATAACTTTCATTTTCATTATTGCCGATGTTTCAGATTTCTTTAGCTTATATCTCGGTTAAATGATAACTGATGGACAAGAAAAGACTACCAATACACTCCCCTAGACTCGGACTACAACCTTCGGTAAAGAAGTTAAGCGTAATAACAACTTTCATTTTTCATTACCATTTGCCTATATTGACTACTGACCACCAACTACCAACTACCAACTACCAAGTACCGAGCACTGACAAATACAATTCCCAAGTTATTTCAACCCTACACCAATGGATAATACATACAAATACAGAATTCATGTCCATTTGAAGTACCGGGTTTTAGGTTTCGGCACTCGACACTTGGTGATTTGTGCAATGAGTAGATGGGCATGTGGCATACATGTTTTCGGGCTTTGGGTTTTAGGATTCAGCCCTTGGCACTCAATGATCTGTGTAATGTAAATGAACAATGAACATGTTGCACACCGGGTTTCGAGTTTTGGGTTTCGGCACTTGAAACTCGGTGATTTGTGCAACAAGTGAAAAATGGAAATGTTATATACATATTTTCGAGTCTCGGGCTTCGGGTCTCGGCCCTCAGCACTCGGAACTCGATGATTTGTGTAATGTACATGAAAAATGGACATGTTGCACACTGGGTTTCAAGTTTCACGCTTTGGCACTCGAAACTCGGTGATTTGTGCAGTGAGTGAAAAATGGACATGTTGTGTACATATTTTTGGGTCTCGGGCTTCGGGTCTCAGCCCTCGGCACTCGGAACTCGATGATTTGTGTGATATAAATGAAAAATCAACATGTTGCACACTGGGTTTAAGTTTCACGCTTTGGCAGAACTCGAAGCTGTTGATTTAGATATCACCCGAAACCCGAACACCTGAATGTCAAATTTTCAGTGCCGAACCCCGAGTGCCGGTGCCGGGTGCCGAGTCCTGAAGCCCGGAACTCAGGATTTGACATTTGAGACGAATGAAATTTTTCAGACATGTTTGAATTAACCTACGTATATCTATAAACATTTCACTAACCCCCGAACCCCGAAACCCGGCAGTCCACAATTTCGGGGTTTGGGGGTTGGTAAAATGTGTATGGATATATGAAAGGTTGATTTAAAAAACCCCCAAACCCCGAAATTGTGGACTGCCGGGTCTCGGGTTTTGGGGCTCGGGGGTCCCGGAGCTCGGAAGTTGGAAAATTTGGGGAGATCAATAAAATTTGATTTACAATCGAGTTGATTGACAAACACATTGACTTACCCATGTTTGAAATATATTTTTGTTCTCACATACCGAGTTCCAAGTTCCGGGACCCCCCGAACCCCGAAACCCGAAACCCAGCAGTCCACAATTTCGGGGTTCGGGGGTTGGTAAAATGTGTATGGATATATAAAAGGTTGATTTAAACATTTTTGAAAGATGTCTCATATCAAATGTTAAGTCCTGAGTTTCAAATTTCGGGTTTGGGACTCTGGGCTTCGAGCTTCGGGGCTCGGCACTCCCGAAACCCGGAAATCGAAACTCGGGACTTGACATTTGATATGAGACATCTTTCAAAAATGTTTAAATCAACCTTTCATATATTCATACACATTTTACCAACCCCCGAACACCGAAACTGTGGACTGCCGTGTTTCAGGTTTCGGGGTTCGGGGTCCCGGAACTCGGAACTCGGTATGTGAGAACAAAAATATATTTCAAACATGGGTAAGTCAATGTGTTTGTCAATCAACTCGATTGTAAATCAAATGTTATTGATCTCCCCAAATTTTCCAACTTCCGAGTTCTGAGTTCCGGGACCCCCAAACCCCCAAACCTGAGACCCGGCAGTCCACAATTTCGGGGTTCGGGGGTTGGTAAATCTCGGTTTGGGGTTTGGCACTGAAATTTGACATTTATATTTTTGTGAGTGTTGTGCTTCTGGTGTCCATGCTTAGAAATAGGATATGTTGCACACCAGGGTTCAGGTGTGGGGTTTTTCCACTTCAGTCCTCGATTATTGGTCAATGCCACACATGGTCGATTCATGTTTTAGTGCTTAGGGGTTTAGATTCAGTGGTCGATGGTAGGTATATGCACTCATAGTGTATGTCATATCCCGCGTTCCGGACCCGGACCTATCACACATCATTTCCGGAAGTCCGGATCCGGCCGACGTCTATCTATGTCCGGATCCGACCCACATCTAACTTCCGTGCCTTATCCCTTTGTACGTTCCTACTCCAGTTAGACCATATCATTTTCCATACCTCATTTCATTTCCGCCTTTATTTTCATCTGTTCTAATCTCCGGGTTCATTTACTATTTTCCGATAGACTAGTGTTTGACTTTTCTATACGCTCCGTCCACAGCTTCGTATAGCTTTGGACTGCGCATCTCTGTTCTCCGATAAGTCCTCAGTAGTATATAAACCCTGTAGAATCTATGTACATCCTTAGTTCGAATATCATCTTAGACTCTGCTCATTCTCTCCTCCATCCGACTTGAGTTTCTCTCTCGTCGACCTCCGCTCGTCTTAGGATCGACTCCTATAGACTTGTCACCTCCGCCTCTACCTTTGGTAGTCCTCCGCTGTTTCCTTTCTAGTTCGGACTTCGTCCAGATTAGTCTTATCTCTTGTTCCCGAACGTCCGCCGGAATTCCCGCGCATCGAACATCGGACTCCGGACATCGCCTGACGCCCTCCGGACATCGTCCGGTAACCTTTGGACATCGTTCGACAACCCTCAGAAGTTAGGGGCACGTACTCGGGTAAGGGGCGCGGCGCACGAGCTGAAGCCAAGCCCTTCGGATTCGACCCTTGAGCACGTTCTTAACAGTGTACATGTATCCTACATGTTTGATTGCTGGTGGCTACATCAGCTGTATGTCTTGATGAAACGTATCTAGGCTCACCCATATATGTACCCATCTATGTACAATTCCCCACGTCAGCCCACCCATCTATGTATTATCCCCCACCTCGCCCACCCGTCTATGTAATACATCCTATGTTGGCCCACCTGTCTATATAATTATACCCCACCTCGGCCCACCTGTCTATGTAATAAATATTTTATCACACCCTCGGCCCACCCATCTATGTAATATTCCCCTATCTCGGCCCACCCATATATGTAATACACCCCCGTCGGTCCGCCTGTCTATATAACAATATTTGCCTTACATCTCTCTTCAGCCCAGCTGTCTATAATATCCTACTCTACATATTACCCAGATGGGCCCACCCATCTCCATGAATGATCATATTCCCCCGGCCCATCCGTCAACATCAAGGATATATATATCATTGGCATACATGGGCCCACCCATCTCCATCGAAATAATATGTGTCCCGGCCCATCCGTCATCATCGAGGATATACACAACATGGGCCCATGATCCGCTGGCCCGTCTCATACGGGATATTATGTAGGTCGAGTGGCCCGTATAATACAGAATTTGTCACTGAAGGGGCTCGTTTGATATGTAGTCATTCAGTATTTAGGTGTGTCCTCATTTGGCGATCAACTTTTCTTTCTGATTTCGATGTACTGTACTGTCGTAACTTGGTCGTAGTAATTTATATCATGAGCAAAAATTAAAAGTCGTTCTTGTATTGATCATGTACAAAATACAAGTGTTTGCTCGAAGCGAATCTAAGTGCCAAGTAAGCCTGCATCCTCAGAAATTGTAATTTACACTGATTCGGCACCTACGTCTCAAATATGTAGCTCCTTGTAATTTGGCATCGCCCATAACAACCCGAGATCCAGACCTTATACGTTACCCGACGCTTTATGCATGTAACTTTGCACTTTTTTGACCTTTGCTGTTATGTTTCTCCAAGGTCAGATTATCGACAGCAGCTAGTACATCATCTGAAGTTTATTTAGATGCCTAGCCGCACATTTCTTTGTAGGTGTGCGCAATGCTGCAACGTTGGAGAAGATGGTGTGCCTGGGAATCCTGGCAGCAAAGAAGTACCCCCACTATGAAAACCGCACATTTGTTCCAAGCTGCTAACTTGGCTCCATCGTCCGAGCGTGAAGCATCCTTGCTTCGTCTTGCTCGCCAGCAGCTAGAGTCTGATACTTTACAGGTCGACAATCTCGCTGCCGAGTTATTTGCTATCACGTTAACCGACAACGACGTCAATCCAGACAGTCACAGCAAACTCTGGAATTCCTGTGCAGAAGTTCAGCAGGAGAAGGGACAAGCCTATCATTCTCTGGATGGTACAGCTACATTCACGGTAGATGACACGCAGTGAGCATCGTATTTCGTCTTACTTTATATTCCCTAACTTGGTCAATTCCCAGACACATTGCCCAAGCTCTTCAGGCTGCTGAGAAGCGACGCTGCTCAAAGGCTCAAGAAGCTTTGGATATTGTAGAGTCACGGATGGATAGGGCTCACAGCCGAATTTTCTCTGTGACTTCCCGTGACGTTATGCAGACCATCCGAGATGAACTGGCTGTGATCACGACAGCCCTAAGAATCATCAAGCACAAGGTCTCGTGCATCGTTTCTCGTAGAAGTCAGCTAGAGGGGTCGTGTAATGACATGCACAGACTCCTCTGTGACAAGGAAGACGTGCTTTCTGTGTCATCCAAGCCGATTGAATTTGATTCGTGTAAGTTCTGTTCATCCTGCTTGTGCCCTTCGACTAAGATACATGAAGCACACCATTTTGACTTGCCAATCAACCTCTGTGACAAAGTTGCCCAGATATCCCTCTTTCTAGGGGCTGTATCTGTCGTCATTTTTGGCATTAGTCGCAGACATGGGGAGTTCTTCATGGGAGTCCTTGCCCTCATTTTAGGCCTTGCTATGGAGGCTCAGAACCCTCATTCTGAGTCCCGCCGTCAAAACACACACTCTCAAATCCCACGCTCTATGGAAACCGCCCTATCGTGCTTCAAGCTCGACGGCCAGACTACAGCTTACGCGGTCTGTCCGGCATGCAACTGTACTTATAGACCGACCACCAGCTTCAACTCAAGTCACGCCCGATATCCCACGAAGTGCTTCAACTGTCCGATACCAGAGGATGGTCCTTGTGATAAACCGCTGTTGCAGCCCTCTGCTGATGGAAAATTAGAACCAATCAAAATATTCCTTTATCACCACTTCCACGACTACCTCGCTGGATTGCTGTCTCGTCCCGACCTTGAAGTGTTGATGGATAGGCCTTGCAATGATTTGCTGGTGTCTATTGGCAGCCCACCTCATATTATCAAGGATGTTTGGGATGCCAACTTCTTTTGCACTTTCAAAGGTCCTTCCGGGCAATCCCTATTTATCGATAGAGGCACTGAGGGTCGATATGCTTTCACGCTCAACATTGAAGGCAATCTCCAATGAAATGCCTCGACCTCTACTGGCATCATCTCATGTGCATGTTTGAACCTCCCCCTCGATATTAGGTATAAATCTGAGAACATGTACTTAGCTGGCATCATTCCTGGACCTTCAGAACCTTCAGGCAATGAGCTGAATCACTTCCTCAATCCTGTGGTTGACGACATGGTAGAAAGTTGGGAGTGTGGCATACGTTATTCCTGCACAGCTCTACATAGTCCCGGTTGAGTTATGCTCAGCATTATAGCGTGTCTTGTGTGCGACCTCCCGGCGGCAAGAAAGGCCGCACAGCTGGCGGGTCCAACAAGTCACTTTTATTGCACGGCCTGCCATTGCTGGCACAGGTCGACTTGCGGTAGAACAGATATCCAGACTGAAGATTGGGTTCTTAGGGACAAGAACGAAGTTTATTGCTATGCTGAGCTCTGGAAGAACACCGAAACTTCGGTTGAGCGCAACAAATTGTTTTCATTGCACAGTGTGCGATGGTCAACACTCTGGAGGTTATCGTACTGGGACCCCTCTCGTCAAATTGTGGTCGACACTATGCATTGCCTCCTGGAGGGTCTCGCACATGCTCATTTCCGTGAATTTCTAGGCCTCACAGCCGACTCCGCCAATCGCAAGTTTGATGTTGTCCCTGCTTTCGAACATCCTTTCCTCAACGTTAATTCACACAAACCTCCAGAGTTCAATGAGAAAGACGTCAGAACCGTCCAGTCAATCCATGGCCTTCTTACAGAAGCAGTTCCTGACCTCGAGGGAAGTGACCCTGAGCTCATTGAGGATCACGTTGTTGACTTAGAGAGAAGACTGTTGATGAAGAAGGTCGCATGTCTTCAGTTCGTATCTGTAGGTTTGGGCATCGAGCCAGATGTCACACACCCTGGAAAAAAGTCTACAAAATTCATTGGGTTAGATCGCTCCTTGTTTGGGTAGGCATTTCAACAGTGTTGTTCTTGTACCCTCTTAATTGAGTTATCCCTTTGTAGCGTCGAACACGACCTTTCTCTCCTGGGTTGTCAAAATCGCGCATTGCTACTCCAGAAGTTATGTGGCGTATTTCTGATGTCATCAAGACGACAGATACGCCCTCTTTCTTGAGATCAGTCCCCTATAACTTTGGGGAAACAAAAGCTGGGACTGTGAAGGCCGACGAATGGCGCACGTTAACGACTGTATACTTACCCATAGCGTTAATCAGTTTATGGGGCGAGGGATCAGTACATCGCAACACAGACATCGCGGACAGCCGTCGTGCCACCCTTGATCACACAATGGCCCTCGTATCTGCTATTCATATCGCCTGTCTGCGCTCCATGATGACGGATCGCGCAGACACATACCATACATATATAGTCGAGTGGATAAGGGATTTGCAAGTAATTCATCCCCATGCACACCATCGAACCAATGGTCATATGGTGTTGCACGTCTGGGACTACCTGCAACTCTTCGGACCCGTGCGGTCATGGTGGTGCTTCCCATATGAGCGCCTCATCGGGCAGCTACAGCGGTTGCCCAGCAATCACATTTTTGGTAATATTTGAACTTGTTTGTCGATGATAAACTTCTTACGCTGTGCTGGTATGCAGGACAGCAAGAATCAACACTCCTCTGGTCATACATCAAGGCTGCAAAGCTCAAATACTGGCTGAACCATCTCTCTTGTCCTCCTGTATTTAGAGAGGTCAAGTGGCTATTTGACAAATTTGTGTCTCCCTCGATCAACGCTAATCCAAGCGATGGATTCCAAGGTCACCCGATGGCCTCTACTATAAAGAAGTTATTCCAGAAGACCTCCGCCAACTCATTCAACTTCGGCGGGCAGTCTTGCATGCTCGCACCCTCCACAAGGGATCTATCTATACTCGCGACTCCACTCATGTTGGTAACAGCCTCATTCTTTATTATCCTGACGGCCTTAGGAATGTGCAACCAATACCAGGGACCATCAAGTATATTTTCGAAACAGAGTGAGGAGTGTG